TTGTGGCAAACCTCTAAATACAGGCCCTGTGCGCCTGAGATTTAATTAGAATACATCCTGCATGTGTTCGTGGACTAGGCTATCAGAAATATAGTCTTCTTCTTTCTTCCTTCTTCCTTCTTCTTATTTTTGCCTGCCAGTTTTGTGTTTTCTTGAGGCTCAGGCTCAGGCCTTGGCCGCGAACTTGCGCAGCGGTACAGCCGCTCCTTCTGCTGCTGCTTCTTGGTCTTCAGGCTCTCCTTGTGCTTGTTGAGCCATCAGCGTATGACATAGGTCTTCCTGGGCCGCAGGTCCAGGGGCTTGTACTTCTTGCCCTTGTAGAATTTCCTGAAGTTTTCTTTCTGAGTCTGGTTAATGACCGTGAGAACACGGGCAATGGATTTGCAGATGAGTTGGATCTTGGACAACTTGGACGCAGCTCCTCTTGTCAATTTGGCGACACGCAGCTGGGACAGCTCCATCTTCAGGTCGTCCAGCTGTTTCAATAGCTCCTATTCTTGCCACCCAAAGCCAGAGCCTTAATTTTGGCCATAACTGCCCAAAGCCACTGCCACCAGTGCCTGCTCGGATGGAAAGAGTTATTTTCATTTTTTGACATTAAAACTTTTCCCATGTGATGGTTTTTATTCATCACTCAAGAGCACCTTTGAAGCACTTATTACATGCAAAGTGCTGGACTTCACTTTTTGTTGTTAACATTTTATATTATTCTTCTTTTTGTTATAGTATATCAGTTTAAAAGAGCTTTGCTTAGGGGCCAACCAGTAGTGTGCTGGTTGAGGCTACTGTATTCCAAGGACTGACTGTGTGGTTCACGTCCTAGCCCTGGCAGCTTGAGGAACACTGCGATGTGTGTGTATGCATGCCCAAAAGTTCTGAAAGGAGAAGTGGAAGAGAAAAGATTGATTGAGGTATGACCATCTCCTTTGGGGTGGTGGGGGGATGATTTTTATTTTGCCTCTCTTTCTGTGTCTGGCAAGTGTACATACCTTCTACCAAATTAATTAAAAAAAAAAAAAGAGAGCTTCACTAAGAGTCAGGATAGTAAACTGGAAATGTCTTAGTAAACATCACTACACTTACAAAAGTCTGGAAGTAGATGGGTCCAGTGCTAATTTTTTATTGATTTTTTAATATTTAAAACATGTTATAGAGTAACATGCTAAATTTGCATGAACTTCAAAGTCAAAGTGGGAACTACAGAGGATATTCGAGTTAATGAGCAGCTGAAAGTCCAAAACTCAGAGCCTAAGCCCAGAAAGGGGGCATTGACCCCACTTAGGGTTTTTTTGTTTTGTTTTGTTTTGTTTTGAATAGATTTTTGCTATAGGGCATGTACTTACTGGAAAGACACAGAGTCAGAAAGCAAAAAAATCAGTCCCCAGGGAGGATAGCCATGTTGCAATCCCTGCTCTATTCTCTTCTTGGGATTTTGGGCATGTACACACTCGCACCTGGTGTGAGTTTCAAGCCTCCAGGTCTGGGACTTGAACTGTGGTTGGCCATGTGGAAGTCCAGTGCTGTAACCATTATGCCATTTGCTGTTCCTCACCACTTAGCTCTTAATTTCCCTCTGCTGTTAGGGTTCTTCTAGGGAGAATATTTAAAGACACAGGCTTGGTGATCCTGTGAGCATGGTGGCCTTCATGATTAGATGACTGAAGTCTAGTTTTTTTGCACATGTTAAAGTGATTTAGTTGATTAAACTTTTCAAAAGTTCTAGATATCGAAAAAGAACAATCTGATTGGTTAAATGATTGACTTACAATATGTGTTTAGGTAAGTAAGAAAACTCAAGTTCGAGCTTATGAAGACAACTTTAGTTACCAAAAATCCAAAGCTTAGTTTGCTATACAAACCCTAGTCAGTCTTGGATCTTGTCTCAGTTACAGCTTTAAAATGTAAGCAGTAGTTCTGATATATTCTGAGAATTCCTTAGTACAGTGTAAATACTTATTTAAAAATGTTACTGTTACAACTGATAATAATAGGCTGAAAGTATTGCCATTACCCCCAAGAGTTTCACTCAAAACCCCAAACTGAGAGATTATTGGTGATAGCAATAATTAGAATACAATTTCCTGTAGTTCAGGAATTCTTACTCTCCTTTGTTTGATTTTTGTGTTTTTGTGTTTTGTTTTGTTTTTGGCAGTGGTGGTGAGTTATTCTAAACTTGAAATTGACAGTTAAAAATAAAATACTTTTGTTTGTATTTTTTAGCTTTTGCAGTTGGGTTTATATGCATAAACCAGAAAGAGAGAAAGTGAGAAATCACCCTCCTCCCCACACACACACACCTCAGGAAGGTTGGCCATGCCACAGTCCCTTCTCCTCCATTCTGATTGTAGGATTTGAGGTACGCATATATGTGTCTGGTGTGATTCTCAAGCTGTCTGGTCAAGGACTTCAAATATGCAGCCAGCCATGTGAGATACAGTCCCTTAACCACCACACCACCTGCTGGCCCAAAGATGATCTTTTTATTATTAAATTTTTAAATATTTACTTAATTTTATTTATTTATTCATTTATTTTCATTTGACCAGAGAGAACCAGAGAGATAGAAAGAGAGAAAATGAGAAAGCGAGCCACGAGTTCTGGAACTTGAACCCTGGTTGGCCATGTGAGAGTGTCCAGCATCTTAACAACCATGCTACCTGCTGCTGCCCCCCGCCCAATGATGATCTATTTAATATGAATCTTGATAGAGGTAGCTTGCTTCCTTGATGATATTGCAGCTCTGCACCAAGTTCCACTTGCTAGACTTTCTTATTAATGTTTGAATATCTGTGGTTTGAGCTAACCTTCTTGAAACAAGTCTTTGAAAAGTAAATATTGTATCTTTTTATGTTAGAGAGGTTTTGTAACCATTTTGCCTTGTGAAATGTCTTTGTATTGACTGATACAATTGGAAACTTTGTCTGAAATATATGTTGCAATATTTGCAAATACAGATTAGTTCATTAAAGAAAGAAATGCAGATCTTTACTAAATCTGAAGTCACACTTTTCTAGTTCATCATGTTTCATGAGTTTAAACAGTACTTCTGTGATTGCAAGAGTAATAAGAACTTCTCACTTGTGGTCTTTACCTGTAAGTGGTCAAGGTACTCTCAATGAAACTAAGTTAGAGATATTGAGAAATATCTTCATTAAATATAAATAGTTTCAGGAAATAATGATTGTGCAAATGTTTCTAATTCATGAGCAGATAATCTTGTTAGATTAGCAAGGACTTGTCCATGGTTCAACTGATAATTGCAATCCCAGCTTTGTATCTTGTTTAAAAACAAAATTATATAAGATTTATAATAGTATTATAGCCAAAATAATCTGCAAACCTAGCCCTCTATCCTTGCAATCCTGTTCCTTTCCTTTTTAGGACCTAATGTCATATGATAACATAGTATGTGTTTTATTCATTTATATCTGTCCTGTCTTCTCCCAGCTCCTACTCAAATGAAGACAGAGATTTTATTCTCATCCAGCACTGTATACAGGAGAGAGACACCCTTCACAGGGTTTGGTCATGCCATGATCCCCTTCATCCAGTCTTCCAATCTGTTGGATCTTGGGCACTCACATATGTGAGATTTTATTTTGTTATGTTTTGCAAGAAAACAAGTTTTAGGAGTCAATCCTAGGGTCAGTATCCATTAGTCTTTAGGTTGATACCAGTTTTGTCAACATTTACTGAAAGATAGGTAATTCAAAAAAAGCCTCATGTGTGTGTCACTTGCAACCTCATATCATTAAGAAAAGGTTGGAGCAGGCAGGTGGTGTGGTGGTTAAGGGTGCTGGACTCCCACATAGCCAACTATGGTTCAAGTCCTGGACCTGGAGACTTGCTTTCTCATTTTCTCTCTCTCTCTCTGTCTCACTCTATTTCTTCCTGGTCAGATTAAAATAAATGGATAAATAAAGTTAAATGAAAATAATTGTTTTTTTTTTTTTAAAGGAAAGGTTGAATTGCATTTGATTTAGTTTATCTGCGAAAAGAAGGAAGTTTATTTGACTTTTTAAATATTATTATTAAAAAGAGCACCATTACAAAGTGCTAACCTTCAGCAACCTAAAAAAGCAGCTATCCAGAATGACTCACTGTTGCACCTTGTCAATTTCAAATTCTGTGGTTTAGGTTTCTGCTTAACCTTACCTTGACACCAGGCTAATCAGAATTCTGTACGATATTTCCTTTTCGAGGTGGCTACATTCATGTATATCTTAGGTCTCTATGCTGGCTAGTTACAGTTCTCTGTCTCAACAGACCTGATAAGGCAGTATTTTGGTTAATATGTACTCGAGTTCTGAGAGTGCTCTCACAAATTTCCTTATAAGGATTTTTAATGCATCTTCAAATTATTTGCCTATGAATTTCAGCTTTGTTTGTTCTATAATTTAAAAATATGCATTTGGTTTCGGAGTGTTCTCTCTTTTTGGTACATCACTTGATTTAGATGCTTCTATTTTTTCAACAGTTCTTTATTATAATAGTGCTACTGTTTGCAAAAGCATAGCTGGGCAATCCCCAGCTTCCTGCATAGTTGAACCAGCCTTCAAGAAGTGAGGTGGTGGATGACCCACCAACGTACTCCTGCTCCAACTGTGGATGTGTCATACACTTGCTGAAATACAGTTTGCGCTTTTCTTTGTTTACTTTCCATGTCAAGCACTCTTCTAATATCTGACCTTTAGTCAGTGTATGATTTTCTTTATGAGAGTAAAAGGAAGCAGGTTATGAAAGAGCTATTAGGTGAATTTACAAGTTACCCAGAATTCAAAGCTCTAATCTAAAAGGTCTAAGTATTGTTTCAAAAGGCGAAGATATTCTAACATTGCAAAACAAAACAAAAATCTTCTAGCCCCTCTCTCAATTGAAGTGATGAAACCCAAAGAATTCATAGAACAAAATGGACAAAATTAGAAGACTAGCTATCTAGAAATCCGCCATTGGTGAAGTGATGAAGAACATTTACTGGTTTATTCTGACACTTGTCAATTTTGTGACTCTTGGCTGCATATGGATTTCTGGGATACAGTGTACAGTTTTAAACAGCTGCCTAAAGTCATGTGTAACTAACCTGGTAAGTTTCACTTGTTGAATATTTATCTTTGCAGAAACTAGAACATGTAGAATTCATCTTGTTGTAACTGCTAGAATTGTTTTCTCTGTGAGAAGTTTGCTCATGAGAAGTGGTAATAAAGCAAAATAGATTTTTTTTTTTTTTTAAAAACGTTAGGAGCACTTAAAATTGCAGAAGATAAAGAAAGTATTTTATTTCAAGTTATCTGGTCACAAATGTTTTAAGGTGGCAGGGTACTAGATAATAGGTAAAGGAGGCTTAAATGTAATCAGTTTTGCACACTTAAAAATTTCAATTTCAATTAATTTATTACAAAATCATTAATATTTTGCCTGAAGCAAGAAAACAGATTTAGCTGCAGAGTTTTTAGTTCCAGACAAACAGTCTTATTTGTATTGTGGATGAATTGCTGTACAGGAAGCTGGGTGAACCTGGAAGCAGATATCATGTAAAACAACATTTTATTTTAAGAGTAAGATTTCTAAATTCCTTTATTTTCATTTGTGCATTGAAATTGTAGTTTAGTTAATTTTTTGATTTGGAAAATTATGTTTTCTTTGTCATTTCTAGTTATCATCCTTTCTCTATATAGCTCATCTTTTCAACTGCAATTTAATTCGGCTTAAACTTGTTGAATCAACTTTAAAAAACAAATACTCTCTAGCTAGGGAAAAATATAATCTTCCTATCCAAAGATAAAGGAAAAGGGGATCAGAGGGGAGAAAAACAAACAACACATTTAATATATACAAAAATGAAAAGTTATCTGCCGATGAGAATGTCTATGGAAATGTCTTTGTCTTGACTAGTATGCATTGTTCTCATGCTGGGAAAAACCATGTAGTATATTGTAAAGATATACAGTGAGTCAATATAAATAAAAATATATGTCAAAAGACAAAAACAAAGATAAAGGAAATAGCATGATAGCTTACACATGCTCTATCCTCATACTTCTTAAAATAGTAAAAATAACAAATAGTACTCATGATTCTAAAGTACTGAAGTTAGCATTCTGTGATAGACTAAAAAAAAACTTGCGTTACACACTTTGGGTTTATTTTAAATTATGGTTTAAAACATTATCTAGGCTTATGATAGACAGTAACAATTTTAAGAATGAGTTTGCTATTTTATCTAAATCTTTGCCAAATACTTCATTGCTTTTAATACAGAATTATATATGCTCTGGCTTCTTTTTTTTTTTTTTTTGAGCTTCTTGAAGTTGTAATCCAAATTTAAAAAGGAAGACTGAGACTTGCATTGCTACTTGACATACTTTTTAGGGCTTTCTTTCCTAAAAAGAATTTTTATTTTTTTCTAATTATAATTCTGACATGTAAATATTGTAAAGTATTTATGTTATGAGATAAATAAAAAAAAAATAGAGCAGGGAAAAAGATCTCCATAATTCCACTATTAATCTCGGATTGCATTTTCTTTTAGTTTTTTTTTATATGAATTTATATAATTTTACACATAGTTGTGAGCTCAGCTTTTCATTTCACATTACGAATTTTCCCCACACCTGGAAGTGTTTTTTTGAAACAGGATCTCTAATAAATTTTATATAGACTCTTCTATCATTCAAATGCACCACTACAATTTTTAATTTCCCTGCTATCGAAACTGATTTTGATGGTTTCCAGTATTGCCATCTCCATTCTCTTTTCTTTTAGTTTTACTTATTTTGTTCTACTGTGTGGGCTGATTTCAGGATTGCGCAGACGGGGCAGACACAGTTTGTTCTTTTCTGAGTGGCTTTCTGTTAGCCACCTACAGCGACAGGCACAGCTGGTGTGGTGGTAGCTAGGAGAGACAGAGACAGCGTCTGCCAGTTTGACCAGCTAATGGAATAAATGTTCCCGTCTAGGCCTCCCACACAGGGAGGGGCAAAACTGAGGTGAACGAACAACTGAATGTGGCCATGTATCAGGGGTGAGGACTCTGGAGCGCCTGAGTTTACTTCATTTTATGTGCCGTTCCTTTTAACATAGACATTTGCTATGAAGGCCATCTTTGATTTCACTGGGTGGTTCTCCATTTTGAGGAGTCTTTTCTTTTTAAAAAAGAAACACAGAAGAGTGTTTTGCAAAAGAATGTTAGAATTGCTGGCCTTAAATGCACATAACACAGTTCTGTGCTTGAGTCATGGGAGTTTTAATTAATTGAGGGATCTGCCTGCAGATATTGGTGAAATGCATTGGCTGACAAATTTTTTGAATTCTAGATTCTCTGTGCTGCCAAAAACTAACAACAACAAAAAAATAATGTTCGGAACACTAGGATTGTGAAAATCTTTGTGAAAGAGGAAACTTGTGGAAGTACATTTTGCTTCCTATTTATTTATTTATTTATCGGTAGATTCACAGGTACAATAGCATACTAAGTGCTTTGTTTAATCAATTTTTAAAAATCTTTGACAACAAAATCTTTTTCATGAGAAACAAATCTCAGCAACTGAGAAACTAATGTTGAAAAGTGCTCCATTAGAAGCATCAGTTCAACTCAATACATTTTTCTGGGTGTCTATGTATATTTAAGGATACAATTGGGAATGCAAAAGAAGTAAATTTCATATTGATAGCGGAAAGAAAGTTGCAATATGTGCATATGTCATAGTTTTAACTATTACTAGACAGTTAAAAGCTATTAAAAATATGACATATTACAGTTTTACAATACTAGAGAATGATGGCAGCACATTTTTCTCTTACATCTGAAGTTCCAAAGGAATCAATCAAAAATCAACTGCAATACTATTGGAAACAATAGTATTCAGCAGAAGACTGTCTTGTTTTAAAAAAATGAACATACAAACATCAAGGCATTTCTTTTTCTATTTAGCTTACACATAATACTAATAATAGATTTCTAAGTGCCTTCACTGTACTGTAATAATTAATGCATTATTTAATTGAATTCTCACAGAATCTTATGAATTAAATATTCTAATGTGTCAGGCGAGAACTTGAAGTTTAGACAGCATAGGTAACTTTTCAAATATCACAATGGGAGCAAATATCATATGTGGGATGAAAATGCAGATCATTCTGCTCCGTTCCACTTATTAGAGTAGGAAGTAAGGAATGAGTTTGATTCCAGCTGATGTGGGCAGGACAGAAAAGCTTGTGCCAAGAGGTAGGTGTTAGGTGAAGATGGTGTGAGATCCAGGAATGGGGTTGTCTCTTGGAGCTGATAATTGGAATAGCTTAGGAAATCCAGCAGGCATCCTAAGGACCAAAGTGAGGCAAGTGAATTTGGCACAGATTATGGGAGGCTCTTAATTAGGAACTTGGGCTCTGGAGGAAATCTGTTCACTTCAGATCCCAACACAGGCAATTTAGACAGAAAATGGAGTTGATGATGGCATCGACTAGCCAGCTGTGGTAGCATAGCAGTAATGCAGTGCTTGGTGATGCTGAGGCTGTATGGGAAAGTCCCGAGCTTGTATTCCGAAGTCTTCCTGTGTGTGCTTGGTATGAGTGTGTGTGCTGTGATTTTCAAGCCACTGTGTCCAGGACTCAAACAACAGTCGACCATGTGGGGGTTCAGTGCCTTAACCACCACACCATCTGTTGGCCCCAATTTATCATTTTTTTTTTTAGTTCTCATATTTTTCATTTTCTCTCAGTGTAAGAAAGGTCTTAGAATTTGTGAATATATGAGAAATAAACAGAATATGTTTTATTATACATGACAATTTGAATTTGAATATTTTCTCTGCGTATTCATTCATTCATTTATTATTATTATTATTATTTATAGACCACAGATTAGTTTATTTTTAACACCCATCATGCCATGAATTCATAGGGAATAGGTTCCAGTAACTCAGGCTCCTTTCCATTAGTTCTCACAAAGTGTGCTTCTCTGGGTGGAGCAGGCTGGCGCTTTAGTTGAACCCAGGTACCTTTCTCTTTGGCTTCTTTCTTTTTCTGGTCATTTTTCTTCACACGTTTTAGGAAACTATCTCTGCTCTTGGAATGCTTAATATCCTCACAACATGTTCATTCTATTGGCCAACAGCGTGCTGGGTAACATTGTAGACTCTTCCAGTTTTGCCATGATGACATTTGTGGGGCATTCCTTTTTGAACAGTACCCATTCCCTTAATGTCTACAATATCACCTTTCTTGTAGATTCGCAGATATGTCGCCAAAGGAACAACTCCATGTTTTCTAAAAGGCCTAATATACATCGGGTGCCTCTCCTTTGTGTTCGTCATTTTGGTTAATTACTGGAAAATGGCAGTTCCGGCCAAAAGGCTCATTTATTTATTTATTATTGTTGATGGGTGTGGGCATTAGTCAGAGAGAGAGATAGAGAGAGGAAGAAATCCACTAATGGAGTGGCCATACCACAATCCTTTCTTCTTTGTTCTTCCTTCCTGTCAGGATTTTAGGCATGCATGCACATGTGCTGGTGGGTTTTCCAAGCCAATGGGGGCTGGTACTCAAACTTCCACTGGGCCATGTAAGATCTGGTTTCACATACATGGTACTTAACTACTGTGCCACAGGGCCAGTCTCTTTTTTCTGCTCTTAATGTATAATTTTAAAAAGAAAGATTGGAGACCCAGCCTAGATGGTATACAGTAGGTATTTTGTGATGTTAAAATGTTGTGCTCTGCCGGGCACGTGTGCGTGCGTGCCCAAGATCCCAAGAGGAGAATGGAGGAGAAGGGATTGCGGCGTGACCATCCCCCCGGGGGGTGATTTCTCGCTTTCTGTCTCTATGTCTCTCTCTGTCTGGCGAGCGCACGCGCCCTACAGTAAAAATCTCTCCAAAAAAAAAAAAAAAATGTTGTGCTCTGCAGGCTGAAAGCGCATAGGAGGCCCAGGTTTGATTTCCAGTCCTGAGGGCCAGCCATGGTGGCACAGGCCTGTAATCCCAGAGACCAGGGAGGCTGAGGCAGGAAGATCATGAGCTTAAGCCTGGCCTGGGTAAAAAAGTAAGACCTTGTCTAAAAATAAGCCTGCTGTGGTGGTGGGTGCCTGTAGTCCAGGCTGGGAGACAGAGGCAAGACAGAGATCCCTGTCTAGGAGAAGAGAGAGAGAGAAAGAGAAGGCTGAACACAGTTCATGTCTGACGTAGGAGTCCTCTGACTTAACCGATTACTAAATGCCACACATTTATCTAATTCTGCCGTGACTCTCTCCTGTCCTTAACCACTCTGCACAGCTACACCCTCACTCACAGCTTTATAGTTTCTGCAGAATTCTTAGGCACTACATCTACATTTTGCAGCAGCATTTTGTCTGGTTTTGTGATGGATTTAGCAACTTTAAAATATATGAATCTTTACAATGAGACAGCACTGAGGAGGCAACATCATTCCAGGAAACTTTGAGAAAATAAAACCCTGAAAAAGTGCGGTAGTTATGCTGAACCCAGTATTGACAGCTGGTACTTATTACCTCCTTCTTCATTTCAGGGTAGGCAGCTTGACAGTGGTACACCATGCAATCTGAGTGAACTGGTGAGTAATCGCTTCAATTGTCAAGAACTTTATAGTGTTTGTGTTGATAAAAGAAGGACAATGGCAAGGTTTTATGATGATTGCTGAGTAAAATCTCACTTACTTGTCCCTGCTGAAAGAAGGTCAGTGGAAAATAGAAGTCTGAGTTACAGAATTCATTCAAAAATAAACTGCTGCTGAAGTGCTAAGAGCACAGGACTAGTCCGAGTCCATGGTGCCGACTCTGCGTGGCTGTGAGGCATTGGGCAAGTTACTTAGGACTTCCGAGACTTCTTTATTTGAGAGGGTTGGACCAGATAGTCTCCAATGTTTCTTTTAACAATTACATTTTATTGGTTTATTGCTTTTCTGCCCATGTGTTTATTTATTTGATAACTCTTTAGTGTAACTATGCACCAGGCACTGGGCTAGGCACTAGAAGATCTAGGAATGAATCAAGTAGGATCTCTGTTTAAAGGGACTCTCCACCTAGTAGGGGAGACACACACACATACAACCATGGGTAGACAGCATCATGGAAACAAGAATAGTGATGTGTGTGTGTGTGTGTGAGGAATAAAGGCATTATACAAGAGGAAAAAAGTACCTCGCTTATCTGCAAGGCCTTTGAACTAAAACCAGGAAGATGAACTTTCCAGGAAGAGTAGAGAGGAACAGTCAAATCAGTCAGAGAGGGCTGTTTCTGTCAAGACACCACGGTGTGAAGTAGCCTAAGTTGTTCAGGAGCATTTCAGCTTGCTTGGAGAATATGTTACATGTGCAGAGAGTGGGGAGAAGGAAGATGAGGTTGGCAAGACCATGAGCTCCGTATGCCATGCTTGGAGATTTGGTCTCAGTCCATGAGATTATGAAAGCTATATAGAGTTTTAGAGTTGAGGTAAGAGAAAGGTTTGATCAGGTTTTGTTTTTAAAAGAGTAAATGCATAAACAAGAGGATTTTCTCATGAAATTGTTGGCGCAGCAGAAAGTCAGGGACAGTGAGTGAGGAGCACCAGATAGATTTCAGTTACTAGAAAAGTGAGTCAGTAAAGCTTGGCAAGGGGTTGTCCATGGGATGGGGGAGTGATAGAGGAGAAGGAAAAGGCTCCCTAGATCCTGGCTTGAAACACTCAGAAGACTGTAGCTTAATGAAGGAGAGAGAGCATATGGGAGGATGGAAATGAAGCATTTACAGTTCCTGAATCTGAGGGACTTGTAGGAACTTAAGGAAGATGTTTATGAGCAAGTGGATACCTGGGACCAGGGCTCAGGAAGGCGCCTCAGTGCAGTTATGGACTGAGGAGTCATCAGCGCTGAGGGCAGGGAAAACTGGGGTAGTGCATCCACTCGCTCAGGGAGGGATGGAAGACTGAGGAAAAAAAAAGCTGAGGATAGAACTTAAATACAGAAGAGGCAGGGAGAGGGAAAAAGAAACAACAACAGAGACTAAAAGGGGGAGAAGAGGGGTCTGGTGTCACCTTGGCCTGTGGGAGCTTGTGGAAGAGGAATCCAGTCATACTTTCCTTCCTCTAACCTAAAACTCTCTCTGTCTCTCCACTATCTTGTGGGTCGAGAACAACTCATCAAGCGTGGCATTCAGAGCGCTTCATGATCTACCCTGCCCCAACTTATCAACCTAGTTTTCTACCTTCGAACACTACCTCCCACCCCCCAGTCAGCATAGTACAAGCACAGACAAATCAAGTGAGGTACAGAGAAGCATGGAGCATCTGTCCCATAGGTGGTCAGGGCAGTTTGGGGACAATATTTTCAGGGCTGCTGTGGCTGAAAGCTGGCTCTCAGGCAGTGGACTCCCATTCTGTCTGCCTTTGTAGGTTTTGGCTCACTACCAGGAGCCCCCCCATTTTGAGCTTTGCTTGTTGTGTGGGGACACCCTATGAACCCAGAACGTACTTCATGCTTTGCTGACCTGGACTTTCTTTTTGCCAATGGATACCCCACAGACAGTGTGTTCCCTGAAGGTTGAGTGCTGTAGGTTCTAGGCCTGACCACCTGGACTTACTTCTGACTCAACACCTTGTGCCTGCAGTGATCCACACACAGGAAGCCGAGTTCTTTATGTAGCTGGGATAGCTCTGCTTAGAATCCTGAAGGTCCTGAACCTCGGTGGGTTCCTATTCCTAAAACACAGGGAGATACAGATATAGATAGATATAGATATAGATATAGATATAGATATAGATATAGATATAGATATAGATATAGATATAGATATATATTGATAGATATAGATATAGATAGATAAAGTGTGTGTGTGTGTGTATTTCTCTTGTTGCACTTACAGGCAACAGGAAAATCACATTTCAGAGTCACCAGTGCCTTGTTGTCCCTTGCAGTGCATCCAAGGATGTCATTTTTGGAACTCTCTAGATCAGGAAAACTGTGCTTTAAAGTGTGTAAGTATTAACCATGTTTCTATTTTGATAGTGATGTTTCCTCCCAGAGAAAAGTTGTCTAATTCCCATTTGTATTTCTTGTTTATTTTTTTAAATTGCCAGAGGGCATGTGCACTCATCAGAGATAGAGATTGACAGTGAGGGAGAAAGCCCCCCCCAATGGGACGTGGTCACGCCACAATCCATTCTCCTCCATTTCTGCATCCTATTGGGAATTAGGCTACCTGTCCAGGAACGTACCTTTTTTTCTTTTAAGCCTCTGGGGCCAGGATTTAAACTGTGTTCAGCCACAGGGATATGGCTCCCTTAGCTAGTAGGTCATAGGGCTAGCCCACTCATTTGCATTTCTGTTGAGTCTACACTACTTTGCTCAACCTTAAAGGAAATATGATAGCCTGAATAATACACAGCAATGGAAAAGAAATTTACAACGGCATTATTAATGTGACTGGAGACCAAATAAGAGTATTGCAAACCATGGAACCCAACGATGCCCAACTGCTTTAAGCTATAAAAGCCTCTTAGTAGAATGTTAGGTATTTGTTAAATTTCCTAGGCCTGTGCATCTCAGGTGTTAATGAACAGAATCTTGTTAAAATGCAGATTCTGATTCAGTAGGCCTTGGGTGGGACCTAAGATTCTGTATTTGTAACAAGAATGCAATGATGTGGCCCACCCCAGACCACACTTCAGATGGCAAGACCTTTGGTCACGTTGAAAGTTTCTTTGCAGAGAACATTGTAACAACCTAATATAGAGATCACAAATACCCAGTTTACGTAGGAAATACATCTCTATAGACTTTATTTTTCATTTTATAAATGACTAATTAAGATAGATTCTTACTACGTCACAATCCTGTCTCAGCTTCCTAAGTAGCTAGGACTACAGGTGCACATCACCACACCTGAATTTTAGGGCGAGCCAGAAATTGAATCCATTCCTCCCATGTGGCCTCGGCCTGCCAAATAGCGATGTTAACAAGTGCAACCTACTGCAATTGGGTCTGTTTTTTATTACTAATATATTCTGTTTTGCCACTTAGTGTGTAATTTAGTTAAAGTACTTAAAAGCTTTGTATTTTACTTTTCTCATCAATAAATTCATACAAGTATAGAATCTCCCTCTTCAAGATAGTATCTGACACATTATAAGTCCTCTGATCTCATGGATAAGAATTTTGTCATGTAAGAGTGGATCCCTGGGGCCAGTAGGTGATGTAGTGGTTAAGGTGCTGGACTCCCACATGGTTGACTGCAGTTTGAGTCCCAGACACAGTGGCTTGAAACTCCTGCCAGGTGTGTGTGTGTGTGCACACCCAAATCCCAAGAGGAAAAATGGAGAAGAAGGGATTGCAATGTAGCCATCCCCCTGGCGAGTTATTTCTTGCTTTTTGCCTTTCTCTGTTTCTCCGGCGAGTGCACGTGTCCTGTAACAAAAATCTCTCTCTCTCTCTCAAAAATAAAAAAAGAGTGGGTTTCTTTGTTCATGTCATTCAGACCAGAGGTTAAATCATTATGAATGGTGGTAATGCTGAATAATCCGAATAGCATTTCAATTAGTGAGTCAAATTATAGTGTTGATTTAAATAAGGACCTCAGCCTCTCATTATATAGAATCCTTGTTTTTCTTATATTGTGTATCATAGGAGTTACTGGCGCCCATTCTTACATCACAGAATGGGAGTTACCAAGAAGAGAAACATGTACTAGCTGGACTTAATAACTATTATACATTTTTCACAAATCACAAACGAAATCATTGTCTTGTTGTGTTTAATGTCTTTTATTTGAACATGTATGCTCCATCAGGCAGGATATTCTCCGTCTTTTCCAGATGGTATACCCTGTACTGAACACAGGGTGGGGCACATAGCAGCTACTCAGTCAACACTTGCTGGACAAGTGCATGGGAAGCTCCATTTGTTGCTGGGCAGTAGTCCAGGAAGCAGGGCAGACACTGTGGTAGCCAGGCTGGACAGAGGAACCTGCTGGCCTTTCCTAGCCAGACCTCTTGGTGGTTTTCATTTCAGATGCCGTTTCCTGTGGGCATCTATGAGCACTCTTTCATCCATAACCTGCCCCATCATGGATTACCTTTAGTTGCGTAGAACTTTTTTTTTTTTTTAAGTGTTTTATTAAGGGTACATGTGCTTGCCAGCAAGAGACAGACAGAAGCAAAGAGAAAGAGAAAGTGAGAAGTCACCCCACAAGGGGGAAGGCCATGACACAATTCCTTCTTTTCCATTCTCCTCTCAGGATTTTGGACATTCACGCACACTTGCCTGGTGTGTTTTTCAAGCCACTGGATCTGGAATTTAAAATGTACAGCCAGCCATGTAGTATCTAGCCACCTTACCATGCCATCTGCTGGCCCAAAGAGTGAGATTTTTAAATTTAAATTTAATTTATTCTTATTTATTATTTTTTTTGAATTTGTTATAGGGCATGTGTGCTCATCAGAGAAAAAGAGAGAGAAAGTGAGAAAACAAGCTGTCAGGTCTGACACTCAAACCACAGTCAACTACGTGGGAGTCCAGCACCTTAACCACCATGCCACCTGCTGGCTAAGTGGGGTTTTGTTCATGGGCATTATGCTTTATCTTTTTTCCAGTGATGCAAACGACCTTATTTTTACAGCTGTTCATGCAGTGGCCTGCTTAGACAGAAGACCTAGCTATGGGTTTCTTTGCTTTTGTTTGGTTTTCCTTGGTTGTTTATCAGTGGTGGGGTGAGAAGTTAGTTTGCAAGAAATGCACAGTAAGTATTAAAACTATTTTCAAACTTCAGTAGTTTAAGTAGTTTCACTTTCCTTTTTTTTTTCTTCCTATGCAGAATGATACCTTTGCTACCACATGTGAGGTGAGTTGGCAATTACTTCAGAAGATGTCCTCAAACTCCTTGTCTTTATCTCAGATCCTTAAAAGGCTATTAGATTAGGAATGATGAAACCTGAGGCATTCTCAGGCCAAAGAGACATTCTTCCTGGGAGTGCTATTACTCTGGGTATAAAATGATTGTATAATTCTATTTTGACACAAATAGTTGCCGTGATTTATGTATTTATGTATATATAAATATACATGCATATATGCATATTCACATATATGTGCATGCATATGTATTGCTCTAATCTTATTTGAAAGGTTGTAATTCCTGGAGTCTGGGCAGAAGGCAGTTGAAGATGGCAGAGAAGGAGGGAAAGGAAGGGGCACACGCAGAGATGTTTCTGCCTATCTCTGTGCTGACTCCATTTCCTTCCTCACAGTTTGTAGTGCTCTGTCATTAAATACAGGGCATTAAAAGAGAACCCTTTTGGAGCCAACAGGTGACATGGTGGTTAAGGTGCTAGATTCCCACATGGACAACTGTGGTTCAAGTCTTGGACCTGGAGGCTTGCTTTCTCACTTTCTTTCTTCCGCTCTTGAGCACACATGTCCTTTAGCAAATTAAAAGTAATAATAATAATAATAAATAAAATAAATTTTTTAAAAAAGAGAAATCTTTATTCTACCTTTCTTCCTTGTACAGTAAAGTTCTTTGCCTACATTTCGAAACACAGCTTTCTTCCCCTGCCGTGATAATAAGTGGGTTCATGCTGATGCTGGCTGCTCTGCACAGGTTTCTGGATGGGCCTCTCTGCCCCTTCTCTGCTGCATGTGACTTTCACTTGCCCTTCAGAACTACCTTGCAATTTCCATTTTTTTTTCTTACTGTCTTCTTCAACTAAACTTACCTGTTCTGGATTCTATCCCCTTAGAATTAGGTTATTTGGCAATAGGTGATATGAAGAAGTTGTATTATCTCTCAATTTAAAACCCATGTTGGGGGCCAGCAGGTAGCATGGTGGTTAAGGTGCTGGACTTCCACATGGCCGGCTGTGGTTCGAGTCCTGGACCTGGTGGCTTGCTTTCTCACTTTCTTTCTCTTTCTGTCTGGCAAATGCACATACCCTATGACAAAATTAAATAATAATGATAAATAAATGTAAAAACAAAAACAAAAAAAAAATCCTCATATTGTGTTTTATTTAAATGCCTTCACACATAGTGAACTGAACTATCTTCACCTATGGAAGGGGTGTTAGTTATCACTCAGTAGTAAAACAGAAAAATTCCCTAAGAAGTAGAACAAAAATTCAAACAAAAAAATGTTAGAGATTGGAACATTTTCTCAAAAACCTGCCATTACTCTGTACCCAAGCAATTTCTCATGGGGGTGGGTGGATGAGGGTTGTCTGAGAAGAGAGAAAACTGGGGAAATGTCATCCTATATTTAAGTGGACAATTAAAGATCTCTCCTGTGGAGTTAAAAAGAATTCCCCAAAACTCTTTCATGTGATTAAAGCAAAATTACCCACAAAGAACAGTCTCTAGGAAGACTGTGCCAGTATCAAGCAAAGCAGGAAGAGCTAAAATCTCTCAAGTGTTGAAGCAGCCCAGGGCGGGATTTGGAATGTAGTAATTCCTTGTTAATCATTACAGTGCCCAGCTGACCATGCTCACGCAGTGTAAATCTTTTCTCTCAGTCTTATAACTCACGCCGTTATTCCATTATTTCCTATTTAGACTTACCTGCTTTACCCTTTAAAATGTTACACCCTTAAATAGAGTAGGACTGAACAGAAATACATGCAGTGTAGATATACAGGTACAGAGATAGATTTAGAGATACTTATTTCAGTTCAGTTGTCCACATTTTAGGAAATTGAACTCCTGGGCCAGCCAGGAGGCATGGTAGTTAAGGTGGTGGATCCCACATGGCTGACTATATAGTCTGAGTCCTGACCTAGTGGCATAAAAAACGTACCAGGCATGTGTGCATATGCATACCCAGAATCCTGAGAGGAGAATGAAGGGGAATGGACTGCAGTGGGGACATCCTTCTGGGATGCTTTATTTTCTCTCTCTCCCTCTCTGTATTTCTCCAGCAAGTGCACATTCCCTGTAGCAAATTTTTTAAAAAATGAAAAGAAAATTGAACTCTTTAATCATTAATGTTTCAAGCTAGGAAACTTAGAAATTGTGTAATTCATATTCCATGGAGGAAATAGTCTTTAAAGTGATGGCTTATTGAACTATAACTTAGAACATGGCAATTGCAAATGAGATGGCTTATTCTTGATCATTTAAAACACAAATTAAATCTTATCAGCACATCTTGGCCTTTTGGCCAAGATCAAGTATAGAACTTATTGTGTCTGAAAGCCTTTTAATGGCTTCTTATTGCTGTTTGGAAAAATTATTAACTACCAAGATCTATTGGCTCCACAGTCTTTCCATCTGACTCTACCCCCCTCCCTAGTTCTCTGTGCCACCACACCGGCCTTTCCCTCTTCCTTGACTATAGGAAGCACGTTTCTGTCTCAAAGCTTTTGCTCTTGCTGTTACTTCTTGCTCAGGTCTTAGCAAGCCCAGCTCTTTCTTTCTTTTCTTCTTTCTTTCTCTCTCTCTCTTTCTTTCTTTTTTAGAGATTTTTTTGTTTATAGATTGTGTGTGCTTGCTGGAGACACAGAGAGAGACAGAGAGACTGAAAGCAAGAAATCACACCCACCCACCTCCCCCTGGATGGCCATGCTGCAATCCCTTTTCCTCTATTTTCCTCTTGAGATTTTGGGCACACACACACATACACACACACACACACACGCACACGACACGCACACGCACCTGGCATAGGTTTGAAGCTGCCAGGTCTGGGACTCAAACCTCAGTTGGTCATGTAGGAGTCCAGTGATGTAACCATTACACCATCTGCTGGTCCCAAGCCCAGCCCTTTCTAAGTCACTCAAGTCGTGGCTTGATGGTCACCTCTGCACAGTTGTTCCTGATTGCTTGAACTAACAAAGCTTTCCTTCTTGCTTGGTTATGTCCTATGTGTTTGGCTTTCTAATCAAGAACTTTTTATTACTTTTTTTTTCCAGGTTTTTGCGATAGGGCACATGTGCTCTTGAGAGACAGAGGGAGGGAAAGTGAGAAATTACCCCCTGAGGGGATGACCACACTACAGTCCTTTCTTCTCCTTTCACCTCTTGGGATTTTGTGAATGTACACACACATGCCCAGTGTGATTTTGAAGCTGCTGGGTTAGGAACTCAAACTGCGATCAGCCATGTGGGAGTCCAGCACCTTAACCACCATGCATCCTGTTGGTCCCAGCTTTCTAGTCTTTATTAAGTTTTATTTATTTATTTATTTTTCATAGCACTTTCCATGATCTGAACTTTTGTTACTCAGTTATCATCACTTTCTAAAAGAATGCGAGTCCATGAAGGCAGGGGTACCTGTCTTCCTCACTGCCATATTCTTAGAGTTTAACAGTATTCAGTACATAAAAATTTCTCAGTAAATATTCTTGAGTGATGAAGGAATGAACGAATAAAGATTTTCTCCTTAGAAAATGATGCCCTAGTTTATATGGAGGGTGGTGGTGTGTGTCTTCCTTGTGTTATAGAAATTAGAGAGGGTACTGGCATTACATGTGTCAGTCTGAAAACCACGGATGGAGCTAGAGAGACAATAAAGATGGTCTAACTACGATAGGAAAGATGGAAATGTGGGTGGAAGGAGACAGCCAGCTGATGTAAAATCTCATCATGGAAAGAGTAGGTTTGGCTTTTACGGTGTGCGTGGCAGCTCAATAACCTGGAATATGCTGTATGAATGTTCTATCCAGGGACTTAGGGCTCAGATTCTGTGAATTTAGATTATTTCTAGGCAAATTGAGCTCTAATAAATCTGGATAACATCATTTAAAGTTCAATGTTAAATTTTCTCCATGTGGTGAAAAGAGACAGAGAGAGAGACAGAGAGAGACAGAGAGAGAGAGAGAGAGAGGGAAATAAAACAGCTGATAGTTTTGCCTCAACTCAAGGTAAGTCCCAGATAGATAGGAATATTATACATTTCTCCTAAAAAAACCCAGACAAAACAGGGTCACCATTTCCCCTCATAATCTAAATAATCTACATTTTCAAATACATCTCATTTTTTCTTCCCCTTCTTCTTGAATCAAACAAACAAACAAACAAAAACTCTTGTAATAATTTTTCTGACCCTTGGTTTGTTTATTCTATGCAGTTAGTGAATATGTTGAATATATTTTACTAAGATTTGCAGAAGATGTGAAAAGTGTACTGAAGGTTTAAGTTAAATAACCCTGAGCCTAAGCCAAGGGATTTGAATTAATTCTTAACTAAGCAAACCTGAGTTTATCAGCTCTCACTTCCTCTTGGTGCACAGATCAAACATCAGATGGTTAGTATTTGCAAGTTACAGCCTTTGCTTTTTTAGGGCAAGTGTACTGCCATAGTTTCCACTATTATCATGAGAAACAATAGCAAGTTTTCCTGAGTATTGCAATTATAACTTGAATGGGAGTAGAAAGAGTGATTATGATTGTTTTGTAGTTTTACAACATGTGCCTCTTCTCTAAGCATTTATTTTTGTAGCTAATGTTAATGTATCTATTAAGAATTTCAAGAAATTTGTGTTTAAGTCCTCAAATTGTGTACCGTTTTCAGATAAAGAGGTAAATGTTAGTCATCGTTAGGTTTTTGTAGATGTTAAGCTTCTACAGCAGTAGTAAGACGTTCATTAAGATGTTCAGTTACTGGGACCAGCAGTTGGCACAATGGCTATGTCGCTGGACTCCCATGTAGTTGACCGTGGTTCAAGTCCTGGGCCTGGTGGCTTAAACTCACGCCAGGCGTGTGTGTGTGCATGCCCAAGATCCAGAGAGGAGAATGGAGGAAAAGGGATTGCAGTGTTGCCATCACTCCTGGGCGGGGGATGGGGGGATGATTTCTTGTTTTCTGTCTTTCTGGTGAGCACACGCACCTATAGCAAAAACTTCTAAAAAAAAAGATGTTCAGCTACTATAAAACTTATAGTTAACTTTTAATTTTCCAAAGAAGGCATGAATACACAAAATGACCAGACAATTCCTAAGCTTAGGATAGAGCTCAGATATTTATCTCATCAGGGCTTGGTGACCAGGATAGAAAACATGAAAGTGCATTGTTGAGCTTAAGGTCTTTCAAACCGTGGGATATAACCCATTAAAGGGTTCTGAAATTCATTCAATGAGTCAAGAGTCACATTAAACAAAATAAAACAAACTAGGATGAAATAGAATTGGACATATAAGAACATATCACAGGTAGAGGGTTGCTTTTTGGGATGCTGAAAGCATTCTACAATTAGACTGTGGTGGTGATTTTACACCTCTGATAATATACTAAAATGACTGAACTGCCGTGCTTTCAGTGCGTGAGTTTATGGTATATGAATACATTTTAATAAAACTGCTTAAAATGAGGGAAAAAAGTAAGTACTTTCAAAAGGGTCTTTCTTTTCTCTAATATATATGTGTGTACTAATATATATGTGTGTACTAAGTTGTTCTGCTAAATTATTTTTACCATGGAATATGTTCAAAAACAAGTTTGAGAAGTGCTGGTCAAATACCAACAGCAAGTGAGAACCTTTAAATATTATAGCTGAAACAGTTGAAACATACTTGTATATCAGCCATTCGGTTTTTAAAATGTGGTTGAAACTTGTAACAAAACCAGTACCAAGGCCGAACTGACTGGCATCACCTGTCTTTCATAGCGAGAGTCCTGTGAGATCGGCTGCAGCAGCGCGGAAGGTGCATACGAAGAGGAAGTACTGGGTAAGGGCATGTGCTTGACTATTTTTTTGAGACAAAGATTTTTGCTATAGGGCATGTAAGTAAGCTCATCACACATGCTTTATTTGTTGCTCGGGTGAGTAATTGAGGCAAGCTGTAGTTGTAGTAAGAGAATGCTGAGACATCTTGACAGGCACAGGCTCTCCTACGTTGATAGATGGGGTGCACAGTGAGGGAAATCTTGCTTTTGTTTTTTATTTCTCCCACAGAAAATGCAGACCTTCCCACTGCACCCTTTGCTTCTTCTATTGGAAACCACAGTGTGACATTACGATGGAAACCTGCCAATGTCTCTGGAGTAAAATACATAATCCAGTGGAAATTTGCACAACTCCCGGGAAGTTGGACTTACACGGAGGTTTGAAAAGCTTTGTACCTAACCAAATATTTTCTCCCCAAATCATTGTTATCTTTTATTTTTTCCAGAGGGTACATGTACTCTCCAGAGAGAGACAGAGACATAAACGGAGAGGGAGAGGAAGAAAGCACCCCCCCCCATGGGGTGTGGTCATGCTGCAGTCCATTCTCCTTCATTTCTCTGTCCTGTTGGGATTTGGGACTTGCATGCACAGGTCCCCTGTGTGTTTTTCAAGCTGTTGGAGGCAGGATTTGAACAGTGCAGTTGGCCGTGTGGGATATGGTTCCCTTAACTACCAAGACACAGGACCAGCCCTGCTCTCCAAATTACTAAAAGTGCCAAATTACAACATGTGAAGGGTCTTCAAAGTTCATGGAAAATGTATATTATTGAACAACTCTATGAGTTTCAAACTTTTTTTGCAAGATAAACTCATATTTTAATTGTAGTTTTCCACAAACTTTTTGAAGTTCCCCCATGTAGTTACATGCATAAAGACATTCTAGAAAACATTCAAGTATAAAACGAGTGGTTGGATTAAATGAATTTTGATTTCTACTACTCCGTAACATCTTAAGCCTTTTATTTTGTAAGGAAAATATTGGACACATGTGGGGACTTCAAAAAATTCATGGAAAGTGAAATTAAAGTATGAGTTAATTTGGGGGTGAAATTTTTTGAAAGCCATGCATAGTTGTTTTACAATACACATTTTCCATGACATAATTTTTTTTTAGAGAGAGATTTTTTCTATAGGGTGTGTAGCTTGCCAGAGAGCCAGAGACAGGTAGAAAGACAGAAGCGAGAAATCACTTCCCCAGGGGGATGGCCATGCCACAATCCCTTCTCCTCCATCTTCTCCACTCTCTTGTTGCTTCCTTTTTCTCTGTAGTAGATTTTGAGTTTTGTCTAGCTCTTTGGTAACAAGCCATTGATCTCTGGCAAGTGAGCTCAGACATTCATATTGATTCACCTTTGGTCAATGAGGTATAAAGAGCGCACTTCATAGAACATCCTAGGAAAGATATACGTCCTGATGGACAAACTAACTGCTCATTGCAGCTCCTTCACCTCCTTCTTCTTCCAATTACAGTTTTAATGTTAGAAGTTGCTGCCGCCATCTTGAAGCCATGAGGAAAAGATCGAAGAACACTTAAGTGCCAATCTATAGCTCTATACTTTGTACATATAATTACAACATTCAGAAATAAGGTGTGTCTCTGAACCAATCAGAAACTGCCCAAGTGTGAAGTTCCTATTATATGAGCAAAACAACTTGTCTACTTAGCTACCATTAGTAGCATAGTGCTACCTTTGCTAATGCATTGTCGCCCCCCCCCCCCCCCCGCCATGACATTTTTGAATACCTGTATCATACTTACTATTCCTTTAAGCACAGCATGGCCATTCATCCTCTGGGTTATAATTTGCCCCTGACACCTAAAATGATTCCAACTACCGTGGAGGACAGGAGGAGAAAGCTCATTGGGGATTGTTCGAGTTTAGACGTATTCTCTAGGTGGTCATCCAGGGCTGTCCCTTCTAGAGAAGAATGAGCAAGTCCAGAAAAAAAAAAAAAAAAAAAAAGAAAACTTAGTCCAAGAAACCAACTATGTTAATGTAGAAAAATTTGAGTAAATCCTTGAGGTATGTACTGAGTAATTGAATTTCTAATTTTGCTGTTTTGGAGAAGAGACCTTCTATGTAATTTACACAGATTGATGTTTAGATGGCTTAGCTCTGAACTCTAGGTTTCAGCTTTGTCTGGTCTGGAAGCTCTGGATGGCCTGATATCCAAAATCTATCTTTCATCTCCAGACTAATCAGTGTTCTCAAGCCACAGTGTGCAGTGGCGATTCTGTAAATGCTGTTGATGCTCTCTCACTGATCTAGGCTGTGTCCAAGCTCTCATACGTGGTCGAACCCCTGCATCCCTTCACTGGATACATCTTTCGAGTGGTTTGGATCTTCACAGCCCAGCTGCAGCTTTATTCCCCGCCAAGTCCCAGTTATAGGACCCATCCTTATGGAGGTATGGTATGCACGTGTTGCTTATGAAATAAGGACATTATTCCAAGGCTTTGGTTTAACTCATTTTTATTTTAAACAACAAAATAAATCCATTCATTTGTTAATTGATCAAATCAATTGAGTATCTAATGGTACCAGGTACTGTTCTGGGTGCTCACAACACCTCTGTGATCAAAACAGACAACAACCCCTCCCCTTGAGAGCTTGTTTGAATGTTCTAGCAAGGGAAGAAAGCTATTTGGTATCTCCTTGACTGAAGAATGGTCCTTCTGTATCAGAAAAGGTTCTCTTCGACTGAGCTCACAGGTTTGGGAGGGACACATGGGGTTATGAAGGAGGAAGAAGACACCTGGCCGACTCCCCTGTTCAGTAGAATCAACCCTGATAATCAGTGGTGTGATGAATGTTTCAGCTATAAGGATGTTACATTCAACTCTTGCAGATGTTCATGTCTTGGTAGAGGAGAAATATTCTACGTAAAAACATAATAAATAAGTAAAACATATTGTAAGTGGGACAGTGCTTTGTGCTATGGTAACAGGAACATTTTGAGTGGGGTTTGCCTTTTAAAGGATTAGAAATGGGGACTGCAGGAGGAGAAGAGAGGCTGGTTGTAGTATTAAATAAGATGGTCAGAATAAGCCTCCCTGAGCTGGTGGGGTGGAGTTTGAGCAAAGACTTGAGGGAAGAGAGGAGGCAGCCAAGTGGATATCTGAGATTCAGTGGTCCAGGGAGAGGGACTGCCTATGGCCTAAGGTATCTCTGGCCAGCTCAAGCCAGAGCGGGGTGAAGAAAGCAGAGGATAATGAATAAGGTCAGACAGGTGGTGGAAACCAGAACATCATTTGCCCCAGGAGACTTTGGAAAGACTGTGGCTTTTACTCTGGGTGGAAGGAGAGTCACTAAAAGTTTGGGCAGAGAGTGACATGAGCTGATGTGAGCTGGTAAGAAGTGTTTGGATACTACTGATTACTTATTGTTATACATTTTAAACTTTTTATTGTCTAGGTTATAAACTTAATAAAACAGTAAAATCTGTAAAGAGTTACCTCCTTTCTTTTTTGGAAAGATGGTTATTTTTATATTATACTTTTTTGATTTTTTTTTAATATAACAGAGTTTGCATGTACTCATCAGAGAGAGCTAGAGACAGGGAAAGTGAGACACCACCCCTTGGAGGGATAGCCACACTGCTATCCCTTCTTCTTCATTATCCTCTTGGGATTTTGAGCACACAAATGTGTGCCCAGCATGATTTTCAAGCCACCAGGTCTGGGACTTGAACCTGTTTTTTCAAGCCACCATGGTCTGGGACTTGAACCTGTTTGCCATGCGGGAGTCCAGTACTTTAACCACTATACCACTTGCTGGTACCATTATATTATACTTTTAATACAAAATACCATTGAAGGGAAGGTCATGAACTTTTTTTTTCATTTATTCAAGTATTTTTTAAGCATGTATTATTATATACAAGATATTGCATTTCTTTTCATTTCTGGGTCTTTCTGCTAGACCTGCAAATCTATATACCCTAGGGTCTTCCAGACACTGTACTGGGTATCCTTTTCATGTATAATAGCTCAGGCTTCAGATTTTCTTTCACTTTCTAGCCACATCAAAATTTAGAAACTTATCTGTCTTATGCCCATTGTCTCATAGCCCTATTCTCTTTCAGCGATTGGAATTATATGGTTTTAGATAGTGTTATTGTTGCCTTTTTTTACAGGGGCCTTCCAGAAGACAGCTCCTTAGCCAAAAGGAATGATTGTTAGGCAAGGATACCAGCCTTTCAGGGATCATTTTTTTCTGTGGGGAGAAGATTTGGACTGTAATTATATCTTGCCATGTAGGGGCATTTAACTTCTTCAAAGTGAGGCAGATCATGTCTGGGTGTTGACTCTAATGAATTTGGTTCTTTGACATTCTGATTCCAATTCAGTGATTCCCTCTTCCCTGTTCACCAAGGTGATCTAAAGCATGGATAAGAGGAAGAATGTAATAATTGTGTTTGCTGAAGATTAGTCTGAGAGTTGGGGAGGAATCACATTTTAAAAAGGCTGTGAGACCAATTAGGAGACCTTTTAAAAATGCCCAGTGTGAAGCCTGCTCTATCTCATTTCTCCCAACTCCAATGAATCAGTGGTAATGCAGAGCATTTTCCCAAAGTGGGCAGAGGGAGAGAAGTCTACTTAACAGCAAGTGATATCAAAGTGTGTTTTTGATGGAAAGAGGAAACATGGATGGAAGATATGTCAGATAATTTATTCTCTGTATTTATTTAGTAAAAAATTTTATTTGCCAGAGGGTGCGTGTGCTGACCAGAGAGAGAGAAGGCACCACCCAGTGGGGTGTGGCCACATAGCAATCCTTTCTCCTCCATTTCTTCATTTTTTTGGGCCTTGGGAAGCTGCCATGTTTTTCAAGCTTCCTGAGCCAGGACTCAAATGGCAGTTAGTCATGTGGGATCTGATTCCTTTTTTTTTTTTTTTTTTTTTGAGAGGTTTTTGCTATAGCGCTCACACATTCACAAGAAAGACAGAGAGAGACAGAGAGACAGAAAGCGAGAAATCAACCTCCCCCCACCCCCAGGAGGTATGGCCAGGCCGCAATCCCTTCTTTTCATCACTGGGCCACAAGGCCGCCACTTACTTTCATTTCTGTTCTTAGTTAGATAGCTTCAAGAGCCCGAGTGGATATTTAAATCATTTAATGCATGCTCCTTTAATCCATTGCAAAGACAGGGGTGCTGTGAAGCTCAGTCAACCTGGATTCCTGGGAGCCCTGGGAGCTGGGATGACGAATGTATAGTCTGGGTCATCAGAACTGATGCCAGCAAAAATGAGGAAGATTGTTCTAATTTCAGTTTATCTAAACCCACATCTTCAGCTAGAACCAGTAAAGTTCCAGAACTCCAGTGAGTGAAAAGACCCCAGGACTTTTTTCAACTCATGTTAATCATTGACTCCAATTTTGTTCAGATTCTTTTCTCTTTCCTAACCTGGTTCCATCCCACTTATTTAGGTCTCTGGAGATTTTTAACAACTTTTTTCCTAGAATGCTTATGTTATTTGTATACTTCTACATATTTTTATTTCAGAAATTATAAGTGAGGAATAAGTGAGGACAATAACATTTGAAAGTGCCTTGGGAAAGTAGCCAACGGGTATAATTTAGGAATCCAGAGTTGCATCTCATAGATATCTTATCTCCTTCCTTCAACCACATATTTTGACTATTAACAAAAATGTTTCCTTTCTACTAACTACTCAAAAAATAAAAATTTTTCTTATTTTATTTTAAAAACACAGAACGTGTACTTCTTTCAGCTCACTTTGTCATCATTATCTCTTTTAGTTCCTGAAACTGCTCCTCTCATTAGGAATATTGAGAGCTCAAGTCCTGACACTGTGGAAGTCAGCTGGACTCCACCTCAATTCCCAGGTGGACCCATTTTGGGTTATAATTTAAGGCTAACCAGCAAAAATCAAAAATTAGATTCAGGGACACAGAGAACCAGCTTCCAGTTTTACTCCACACTACCAAATACTACCTACAGGTAAGAGCTGAGTGATGCAAAAGAAAATATAACCAGTATGGCTGCAGGCATGACACTTATTTAAGAAATACTGGCAAACGTAGTTTAAATACACTTTGAGAAATCAACTGACTCCGTACTGTTGGGTTGAACTTGTTGTGGTTTTCCTCAAGCTTATTGGCTTAGAGGATTATGTGATCCTAAGCAAAAGTGTTCTCAAGTGTTTTTATTATATTCAAAGAGTACTTAGCAATATGGGCTAATAAAGACATCATAAATACCATAAATGTAATGTCTTCATTTAATCCAACAGGTAAAAAGTAAAGAGGTGAAATTCTTAGTGGAATTTTTATTAAGTATTAGGAAGATTGTTTTACTGCTGTTAGCTTTTCTGGCCTTTACTAAGGCCTCTTTAAATTAGGTGAAGAATAGGGGTCATGTTGATAGCAGAGTTCAGTTTTTGACCTCCATGACCCTGAACTGTTCTATGGGGAATGCAAACAAGGATGTGATTGATGGTCATTTTAGTGCTGAGCAGTGGCACCAAGTAACTAGATATGTGATTGCCACATCATCCTTTAAATAGAATTGTTATTGCTCCTTCTATTTTTATCTCGTGTTCACACCATGCCATGTGAAACCTATCTCTCCAAATTGTTTTTGGAATAGGTTTTCTATTGCAGCAGTAAATGAAGTTGGTGAGGGGCCAGAAGCAGAATCTAGTATTACCACTTCATCCCTAGCAGGTATGGCCCAGAGCTGCTCCTTCTGTTAAACCAAAATGAAAGGTGGGAGGGGTGGTCTCATACCTTGTTGGTCCTGGGTCATCTGGTAGACCTCAAGACCCCACTGCATGTGTTCAGTGGGTGTTGATTTTGGGTATTTGGTTAAGTTTATGTTTTTAAGTGAATTTAGTATTTGACAGATTGAATAAGTGATTAAATTATACATTTTCATACTAGAATTTAGGAATTTAAGATCAGAATAAAAGTATTTAGGGATTTAAAAAAATGACCTCAAATAAATCTTTGGTTTTAATTGAAGTCACTAGTGATTGTGACTTTTTCAGTTATGAAATACATATGCATTTTTAGCCTCAATATCCATCTTATATCATGTATCATCATTTAATACACATCAGATGTCTTTTTTACCCCCAGTCTCCTTAAGATTTTTAAGTATGTCTGGACTTTAATCATTTATATTTTACCATTTTGAGTACACAGTCTACCATATTATCTTTTTTATTATTTTGTAAGTACCCTTTTTGGCTTTGGAAGTTTAACAATTGCCTTGACAGATTGAATACTTAATATATGATACCTATGTAAGCAAAATAATAAATGACAGTGTTTTCTAACAAACATTGAAAAGTTTTCCTCGGAAACTAGTGAACAAGTTTTGAGTAACAAAGACTCAGAATTTTAGGGGTCCATTTTCTATTTTCATCAGACCCTCATTTGCTCACTTGACCACTCCTTACCCTGATCTGCACTGAATCTGCCAGGTATCAAGTGTCATCTACTATTTTTTTTGGAGAGATTTTCACTGTAGGGCGCGTGCGCTCGCCAGACAGACAGAGAGAGACATAGAGACAGAAAGCGAGAAATCACCCCCCAGGGGGGATGGTCACGCCGCAATCCCTTCTCCTCCATTCTCCTCTCGGGATCTTGGGCACGTACGCACACGCGCCCGGCGTGAGTTTTAAGCCACCGGGTCCGGGACGCGAACCGCGGTCGACTACGTGGGAGTCCAGCGACATAGCCATTACGCTAACTGCTGGTTCCCCAGATGTCTTTTTTACCCCCAGTCTCCTTAAGATTTTTAAGTATGTCTGGACTTTAATCATTTATATTTTACCATTTTGAGTACACAGTCTACCATATTATCTTTTTTATTATTTTGTAAGTACCCTTTTTGGCTTTGGAAGTTTAACAATTGCCTTGACAGATTGAATACTTAATATATGATACCTATGTAAGCAAAATAATAAATGACAGTGTTTTCTAACAAACATTGAAAAGTTTTCCTCGGAAACTAGTGAACAAGTTTTGAGTAACAAAGACTCAGAATTTTAGGGGTCCATTTTCTATTTTCATCAGACCCTCATTTGCTCACTTGACCACTCCTTACCCTGATCTGCACTGAATCTGCCAGGTATCAAGTGTCATCTACTACCAGCCGTTAGTTCGTTGGCTGTCCCTAGACTCTAAGAAAGAAGTATTTTTGTTATGCAAGTAACATGTCCAAAGGGCAAGTTAAAAATAGAGCAGGGGCAAGGTTGTTGTTACAGTGATTATTGCATAATATTTATTAATTGCCCTAAAAGTGTTCACCCATGCATCTTGCATTTGACTCCAACTGAACAGGACATCAGGCTGAGTTCTTCAGCTCTCCAATTTCATTCCTCTAAGGTGTTTGTTTGCTCCTGCCTCAAAGGTAGAGATGTTGAAGATTACACAAAGACAACCAATGTCTGTCTATATATAGGTACTATGAAACTTCCCACTCTGATTTGGGGTGGACCACCTCTACCTAGCAGATTCTCTTGGCTAAAGAAATTAGCTTAATTCCTGTTGGGGCAAGGCTGTTGAGAATGGTGGTACCTCATGTGATATTATTTTGAAGGCATTCAGGGACATATAAATCTTACTTAATTGTCATTGTACTTTCTACCCTCAATCATGGAACAGTGTAGATTTTACCACAGATAAAATACCCTGGTGACTTTGGAAAAAATCTGACCATCCTCATTTAATTACTAGTCCCCTTGCTTTGAAGTGTGGTATTGATCTTTTTCTATGTTAGTGAACACATGGTTGGCCTGACTACACATCCTGTCATCTTTTCAGTACAAGAAGAGGAACAGTGGCTCTTTTTATCCAGAAAATCTTCTTTAAGAAAGAGATCTTTAAAATATTTAGTAGATGAAGCACATTGCCTTTGGTCAGATGCTATACACCATAATATTACAGGTCAGTATAATGGAGAGCAATGTTTCCTTAGTGTGAAAATAAAGATCTAGACCTTCAACAAATAGCTCTAGAAAAGTAGACTATTACAAGAATATTTTGTAATATTTCTAAAATATATTTTTCTAATAATCCAAGATGTGGGAGGAATTTAGAAGAAAACTTTCTTCTAAAATGAAAAAGTATTCTATCTTAATCTCTTTATGACATATTTTAAAAAATACGTTCTCTTTCATGTAACTTTTTTGTCCTGTTTTTTAGGAATATCAGTTAATGTCCACCAGCAAGTAGTCTATTTCTCTGAAGGAACTCTCATATGGATGAAAAAGTCTGCCAGCATGTTTGATATGTCTGACCTAAGGATTTTTTACAGAGGTTCAGGATTCATTTCTTCTATCTCCACAGACTGGCTTTATCAGAGAATGTATTTTATCATGGATGAACTGGTTAGTTTGAGAATTTAAAGTGAATATGAGATATTTGTACTAATATGCATATCCTGGTATGTATATTTACATATAACTTAATTCTCTCCTGCGATAGCTACTTGTTGAGTACTTAGTATGCTTTGGACAGTAGGTTAGCAATGAATCATAGAGCTAGTCTATAGGAGGATCTAACCTTCATCTCTTACTAGTCCTGACCTGCTATTGACATTTTTATTTGTGATTTTTGAGAGGCATGAGTTTATATTAATGATGATTCATCTCCTTGATAGGGGTGGTACTACTGTTATCAATGGCTAAGACTACTCATTATGAGTAAAGTTAGTCATGAGCATCATGTAATAAGTAGTGAGCACTTAAGTGGTTCCTGAGAATACAGTAGTACTAGAATCTTTGAGAAGACACAGTCTAGATGTGTTTCAAGCTGTATGTGTTTGAAAGGTACAGGCTTATAGCAATGAGTGAAGCCATCACTTCAACTGAAAGTCCATAAGCTTGGCTATAGTTTAAATGTCAAAAGTAGTTGAGTGTCTCCACAAGCCAGGAATGCAGTTACTCGATTTCATTGATGTTAATAGTACATAAACTCATAGGCTCTAGAATATAAACTGTTATTTAAGGGCTTTTTTTTTCTTTTATACTATAAGGCACATGCACTCACCAGAGAGAGAGAAAGAGAGAGAGAGAGAGAGAGAGAGAGAAAGAGAGGGAGAGAGGGAGAGAGTTAGAAATCATCTCCCTGGGGGGATGGCCACATCACAATCCCTTTTCCTCCTCCCTCCTCTCTGGATTTTGGGCATGCATGCCCACACACCTAGCAAAATTCTTAAGCTGCTGGGACCAGGACTCAAAACACAAAGCTGACCATGTGGGATACAGTGCCTTAACCTCTATGCCACCTGCTGGCCCCATTTAAGGGCTTTTTTTGTTTGTTTCTTTAGAACAGTATTCAGTGAGTAGCATGGTTCCAGGCAAAGAAGGCTCAGAAAATACTTGGCTAAATTGATTATGGACAGACTTTAATCCTACTGATACATTTTTCACTCTCCAGGTATGTGTGTGTGACTTAGAGAACTGCTCAAACATTGAAGAAATTACTCCACGCTCTATTAGTGCACCTCAAAAACTTGTGGCTGATTCATACAATGGGTAGGTGTAGCTTTGACTATGAATTCTCTTTCACTAGCTAAACTCCTTGGAAAACTTGCTTGCTAATGAACCATTATGTGTAATACCAGAAGAGTTCATCTATGCATCTCATTTCAGGTTAATTAAATTAAATTCAGGCAAAGTTTTCATTCTAGAACCAAGAGAAAATTTCTTTCAAACTTGAGCAACCCCTCTTCTAGTTAAGTAGTTTTTTCTCTCTCCTCTACAGCAAAATATGAGTATATTGGAAGAACTCTTACCTACGACTCAGGGATCTGGGTTCTAGTCCTGGATCTGTTAGTTTATGGCACTCAGGGTCTCACTGCCTCCTTCAACATTCCCCTTGAAAAGCCCCTCCATTGCATCCTTTTTGCCGAGCAATTGGACTCTAGTTTATCTCTCTGGACTGGTTCTTAAATCTATCAAGACATTGGTTTACTAAGAAAGTTATTGACATCCACTTTAGGAGACAGGTTAATAATAAGTAAAAATTTTCAATTATGGATTACTTTTTTCTCTGTTCCAAATGAAATATGTGTATTTTAGCTCAATTGTGGTGCTAAATTGTAGTAGGACCTTCAGCAAGTAACTTCATGTTTGTGACCATTGCTTAATCTGTACATAAAAGTAAAATAGTGATACTTATCTGGTTGGGTTATTTTGAGGATGAAATAAGGTGTTCGCTTTGAATGTATTTTTTGAGTTCCAAATGTACATTGATGTGAAGGTTGAAAGAAGAGTTATTTTGTTTTTATTTCCTAAATACAAGTAGATAACAATAGGTTAATAACTAATAAGGCCAATACTTTTCAGATTAAACTTTTTTCTTTCCTGTTTTCATTTTGAATAAAAAAACATATATTTCAATAACACTTTACTTTTCACAAATGGAACTTTTTGAAAAAATATTGCTCATTATTGATTTAAAAATCAAACTTTCTATTCATATTTATTCACAACTTGCCAGAGACTTCATTTAACATTTTAGGTTTGAATGAATTATTAAATTATAGAGTATATGAAAAATCCTGTGATTTAGGGCAATTTCTTTGAACTCTCTGGATCTTATTTCATTCATTTTTAAAGATCTAAGATCTTACGAGACGTAATATTCTTGTTGGCAGTTACACAAAATGACTCATTTTGAGGATAGTGGACTTCACTCATTAATCAGTCATTAAAATAGATGTCAGTGAGGTCTTCAGTGGCTCTTTTTTCATTAGAATAAAATTAATTTGTACTTAGATTTTGAATTGCAAGTAGAACTAATAATAATTATTACTATTTATGCTTAATACATGTTTCTAAGTGAATGACTTCCAATAATTCATTTAATCCTTTTTCAACCCTATGAGTTAGGTACCAGTACTATCCCAGATTTTGAGATAATGAAAGTGCAGCATAGGCTGGTTTAGCAGTTGTCCAAGATCACACAGCAGTTTTGCAATGAAACCCATCTTGGATTTCTTGCTATAGGGCCTGTCTTATCATCTCCTTGCATTGTAATTGGATAATTTCTATAAAATCTATGTGTAACACTTATAAACCCTTTGTCTATAGTATTCCTAAAAGATATTGAATGTTTGAAGTTGTTTATTTTCTAGTACTAAAAAAATATTTTCTTTATGCTATTATTTTTGCACCATTGAATTATTCCCTCATTGAGTTTGAACTTATAATAAACCTCTTCTCTTTCCCCTCTGAACAGTCTCTTTCTTTTCTCACCCCTTTTTTCTCTTTCAACCTCTGTCCCCTCCTCACATCACAGTTTCTTCACCTGCCTTCTCTTTTCATTTCCTTTTCACAGCATGTTGGGGGTTAAAGACCTGCACTCCTCCTGGCTTCTGTACAAGAGGTATAATCTTTACCCCAGGTAGTTTACTTTTATCCACTCTGAAATCCCTCCAAATTCCATCAATAATTTGAAATTTGGGAAACAAAGTCAGGCTATTAAGAGGCAAGCTATTTCTGCTTCTTGCCTGCTTCAACCCTATCTTAAGAAAAGTAACATAGCAGGACCAGCAGATAGTGTAATGGTTATATTGCTGGACTCCCACATGGCCAACTGTGGTTTGAGTCCTGGACTCAGAGGCTTGAAACTCACAGTGGGTGCATGTGTGTGCATGCCCAAAATCCCAAGAGGAGAATGGAGGGGAAGGGATTGCAGCATAGCTGCCCCCCGTGGAGATTTCTTGCTTTCTGTTTCACTGTTTCTCTGTATCTCTCTGATGAGTGCACATGCCGTATAGAAAAAATTTTCTCGGGACCAGCAGTTGGTGTAATGGCTATGTCGCTGGACTCCCATGTAGTCGACGGCAGTTCAAGTTCTGGACCCGGTGGCTAGACTCACGCCGGGCGCGTGTGTGTGCATTCCAAGGATCCCAGGAGAAGAATGGAGGAGAAGGGATTGCGGCGTGGCCATCCCCTCTGGGGGTGATTTCTTGCTTTCTATCTCTCTGTCTCTCTCTGTCTGTCTGGCGAGCACACGCACCCTATAGCAAAAACCTCTCCAAAAAAAATAAAAGAAAAAATTTTCTCTTAAAAAAAGAAAATGAATATAGCACCATATCTCAAAATACAGTTTATATCTCAAGGTATTATTCTAGCACAGGAATCTTGAGCATATTGATAAGGATTTAGAATAGTCATCAAAAAGAATAACAGCAGAATTGAATAAGAACAAAGAAAATGACTTGACAGTTCTGATGAGAGGTTGGAACACTGCCAGTTCATGAGGTTGTGATAAGAAAAATTTACCAAACAAAATTATGCTTTTATTAGCATCAGTCTCCAGGGTCACAAATTCTAAATTGGTTTCATTTGAATTCATGATTTGTTTTAGTTAAAATTTCATTTACAAATTTGATTATCAGAAAAATATTTTGGCAGTACATTTTCATGTCGTTGTTTTTTTCTAAATTGCCAGATGACATATGTGCTTGCTAGAGAAAGGCAGAGAATGAGAGAGAAAGAGAGGGAGAGAGAAAGCACCTCCTAGTGGGAAGTGTCACTCTGCCCTTTTCTTTTTCTTTCTTCTTCTGCTTTTTTTTTTTTTTAATTTGCTATAGGGTGCATAGACTTGTTAGGGGGAGAAAGAGAGAGAGAGAGACAGAGAGAAAGAGAAAGAGAAAGAGAGAGAGGAAATGAGAAAGCTTCACCTCAGGGGGGATGGGTGTGGCAATCCCTTCTCCTCCATTCTCCCCTTGGTATTGTGGGCACATAGGTGCATGAGCCTGGCATATTTTTCAAGCTGCAGACTCTGGAACTTAAACTGTACAGTTAGCCATGTGGAATCCAGTTCCCTTAACCATTAGGCTGTGGGACCAGTCCAGTAGTGTGTTTTCTTTTTCATTATTAAAATTACCTGTGGCCAATCTGTGATGGCATGCAGATACTACGACTGCTTGGGAGGCCGGAAGCTGCATAGGAGGCCTGGGTTCTGTTCCTGAGCCATCCTTAACATGGGGAGCATGGCTGCACATGCTGGCAATCTTAGTTACTTGAGGATCTAGAGCAAGACGGTTGCAGCACAGTAAGATTATCAGAAATACCTATGTCTGTGCGTCCCTTTCTCTCAAACGGGGGAGAAAAAAAAAGAAAGAAAGTAAAAAGATTACCTGCCTCAGTACTATGAGATTTGGCTCCAAACTAGGTGTGTTTCTTTGATTCTTCCTTCAATTCCTTTCTCCTGATTGTTGGATGATTCTCTCTAACTTCTTGGTTCACTTGTGGAAATTTCTTCATGGTTTAGAAAATGAGTAGCTCTATTGCCTGACTCAGTTGTGAATAGTCTAAAAGTTTAGTCCACTATCAGTTCAAAATAGTTATGCTAGATTGTTACAGCGAAATGATAATTGTGCAATTAAAAATGGCTTAAATATTTTGCTTTCTTTCATTTGTCATTCACAATGAGAAAATTTATTGACAGGATTAGACCTAAGATTTTGTTTATTTTGAAGGGAAGTGTTTTTATAGTAAATGACATGTTTAGCTATGTAAATTTTATATATGCTGCTTTCAAAATCTTTAAAGATACTTTATATTTTTAAATTCTATGATTCTTTAAAAATTCACTTACAATAGGGCCAGCAGATGTTGTGGCAGTTAAGGTGCTGGATCCCACATAGCCAACAGTGCAGTTTGAGTCTCAGACCCAGTGGCTTGAAAAACATGCCAGGCACATATGCGTGCATGCTCAAAATCCTGAGAGGAGAATGGAGGAAAAGGGATTGCAGGATAGCCATCCCCCTGGAGTGGAGAGTGATTTCTCATTTTCCTTCTCTCTCTGACTCTCTCTGTTTCTTCTTGGTGAGTACATGTGCCCTATAGAAAAAAAAAGTCACTTATAATAATTGAGAGACTAAGTACTGTAAGTGAGACTGAAATTTTCTAATGTTCCAATTTCTAGCTTCAATGACTAGACCATATCTTTTTTTTTTGAGAGGTTTTTGCTATAGGGTGCGTGCACTTGCCAGAGAGACAGAAAGCGAGAAATCACCCCCCAGGGGGGATGGCCACACTGCAGTCCCTTCTCCTCCATTCTCCTCTTGGGATCTTGGGCACGCATGCACATGTACCCGGCATGAGTTTTAAGCCACTGGTCCGGGACTCAAACCGTGGTCGACTACATGGGAGTTCAGTGACATAGCCATTATACTAACTGCTGGTCCTAAGACCATATCTTTAATAATTACCTTTACTCTTTTACACTGTGAGAGTAAATCCTGTACTTAGTGAGTCTAGAGATAGCTGATTCTGATTGTGCAATAGGATAAAGCAACTAGCTGAAGAGGTTATTCCTCTTTATCCTTAAATTAAATCACATAAAATTTCTTTTGTCCCAACACCAGGTACATCTTTTATCTCTTGAGAGATGGCATTTACAGAGTGGATCTCCCAGTGCCATCTGGTCGGGACACTCGAGCTGTGCGTATTGTAGAGGGTTTTATGTTAAATGACTTCGCAGTGAAGCCACAGTCCAAGCGAATCATTTACTTCAATGACACCGCCCAAGTCTTCATGTCAACATTTCTGGATGGTACTGCTTCCCATCTGATCTTACCTCATGTCTCCTTCACTGGTGTGAAGAGCTTTGCTTGTGAAAACAATGACTTCCTTGTCACAAATGGCAAGGCCGTTTTCCAAAAAGACTCTTCGTCTTTTAATGAGTTCATTGTGGGATGTGACCTGAGTCACATAGAAGAATTTGGGTTTGGAAACTTGGTCATCTTTGGCTCATCTGCCCAGCCATACCCTCTGCCAGGCCACCCACAAGAACTCTCTGTGCTGTTTGGCTCTCACCAGGCCCTTGTTCAATGGAAGCCTCCTGCTCTCGCCATAGGAGCCAGTAAGTGTGCTATTCCCAGGGTGGTTAGTGGTCTTCAAGGAGAGGAAGCAGTGAACTGCTTGGCATTATGATTCAATTTTTAGTGCCCACAAATGATTAATGAGTCTCCAATCAAGAGCAATTACTTAGCTTTAAAAAATGTGTTTATGCATTTGTTTTGCATTTATTAATTTTGCATTAGGAAGAACTCTTTACTTTCTATGTATCTCTTTAGAATGATTTAAACATCTATTGAGGAACCAGGCATAATTATAGCAAAGAACCAGGAGGCTAGAATACATAGGTTGACATTTTGTATCCATTGAGAATTTTTGCACAGTTTTGAGCCATTCCCTAAAACTCTCTGATCTTGAAGCTTTATCTCTGGAAAGGCATGTGTGGTGGGTAGCATCTAGGCTTTGAAGTCAGCTGCATTGGTTTAAATGCTGGTCTTGCCATTTATTAGCAGAATGACCCTGGGCAAGTTACTTTGCCACTCCGTGCCTTACTTTCCACTACTAAAAAAATGGAACATTAACGATATCTTTTTATAAGACTGTTGTACAGCTTAAATTAAGATATATAAATAGCACACATAGAACAATATATATGTAGCACAGAGGTCAACAATCTTTTTCTGCAAAGGAAGAGCCAGGTAGTAAATATTTTCAGCTTTGTGATCAAAGGGACTCTGTCACCAACTCTGCCGTGGCAGTGTGAGAACAGCTGTAATAATATGTAAATGAGTAACTGTGGCTGCATTCCAATACAACTTGATTTACAGAAACTTGGACCAGCCTATGGGCTGCAGGTTACCATGTCCTGGTCCCCTAGGTGATAGGAAGTATGTAGCAAACACTGACTCTTTTTCACTTTAAGACAAAATTATGCCTGTTTGCTGCATGTCTCAAAGATGGCTAAAATGAATAGGCAGTTTCTTTTCTTTTTTTTTTTTTCGTATTAATTAGGCTTCTTGAAGTAAGGTACTATACAAAACACTGGGGATTATATTAGCGATTCATCATTAAGCACTTTTTATTAAGAGCTTAGTTATACCTGATAGTACAGTATCATAGAGAACTCTTACAACAATTCTCTGAAATCAAGCATGTTACCCTGACTGAAGGACGGTCTTATTTGTTGGGAATGATTTCCCCTACAGCGAAGCAAAAGAAGCTGCAGGGGAGGAACAGACACTGCCCTAGTCTTATCATCACACTACGTCTGGTGATCAGTGGGATAAGAAGTATTACTGGAAGTATTACTGCCTGATTGCTCTCCCATTTAAGACGAGGCTGTAGATGAATTGACTGGCAATCCTCATTTGCCCTTGCTGATGTATTCTTGGTTAGTGATATTATTGAACTCTTCTAATTAGGCCCTTCCGCCTGGCAGAACTGGACTTATGAGGTGAAAGTATCAACTCAGGACCTTTCTGAAATCACTCATGTGTTCTCGAACATAAGTGGGACCATGATGAATGTGCCTGTGCTGCAGAGTGCTACAAAATACAAGGTCTCCGTGAGAGCAAGTTCTCCCAAGGGGACAGGCCCCTGGTCGGAGCCCTCAGTGGGTACTACCCTGATGCCAGGTGAGAAAATGTTCTGATTTAGAAACCAATACTGACAAAAGAAGGTTTGGCTTGAGTGTACTTTAAATTTCCTTGCCTGGAGTGTGGTAGGAGACATTAGAATGAGGGCGTGTTGACCTTCTGAGTGTGTTTATTATCTGGGATTTGGAAAGAAGGAAAGCACTGTGTGGTATTTAATTTATATTTTTAACTTGATATTTTAAAACTTTCCAAGATATTTTTGAGAAAACATTGTAATTTTTTTCTTTTTCTTCTTTTTTCTCATCATTTTTTGAGCAGTAACATTCCTGAATTCCGAAAGTTGTGAGAGTAGTTGAGAGGCTACGAATTATACTAATGTCTACCCTCTTGGCCAAAAGTAAACAGAAGAATAACTGCATGATTTATGCTGATATTTTTTATCACAGTTGCATATTGGTACTCCCAATAGGGTGACAGCAACCAGTAGCCAAATCCAAAGCCAAAAAAAAAAAAAAAATCTTCCATGACGCTGACACTGTTACGGATGCAACATTACCACATATTTCTCTTCACATTCAATTTCAAATATTTATGCAAAATATCAGAAAGTCTATTTGATATGATAGGAAATTCTATTAAACAGATATACTTATGTATATTCTTCTACAAATTTTTCAAAATGTTGTTATTATTTTACTTTATAAAGGAAATCTTGGCTTATAAGATACATACCTAAACAATTTGCTTTCTGTGATTTTTCTCTTAACTTCGTTTATACCAAACAGCCGCAGAACCACCATTTATCATGGCTGTGAAAGAAGATGGGCTTTGGAGTAAACCATTAAACAACTTTGGCCCAGGAGAGTTCCTATCCTCTGACATAGGAAATGTGTCAGGTAAACACCAAGTCTTGTGTTCACTTGGATGACAAATTTTTACTCATAAGGATTCTCAAGTTATTCAGTAAATCAAAAGAACTGAGCATTCAGGTCAAAGCAAAAGGAAAACATATGGACTGAACTATACTGCAAGTGATAATGTTAAGAAAACATCAGGTGTCAAGTAGGACTGCTATATATTAATTCACTAGATATGAAGCCGTTACTTTTGTATGGTCACTTCAGGAAGGCCTTGATATAATGCTCATGTATTTTAATTAACGTTGCCTTGCAATAATAGCCTATTTTATTCCACTAAGACAGCAATACTTAAATAATTTACTCTGAATTTACTGTTAGATAGCTATTTTATTCCACTAAGACAGCAATACTTAAAAATATTTTACTCTGAATTTACTGTAAGATAGTAGCAAGAAAATGGTTACTAGAGTTCTAAATAATGAGTAAGAATTTGTTGAGAAATAGAATGATTAAATAAGGAATGGGTAATTTTGCCTAGAAGAAATTAGAATGAAGAAAAGATTTTTCTAAGGTAGTATTGTGGGGATCTTGCTTGAATATAACATCTTCTGTAATTACCTAATTATTATTATTATTTTTTTGGTAGAAGTTTTTGCCTTAGGGCACATGTTCTTTCTGGAGAGAGAGAAAGAGAGAGACAGAGACAGCGAGAGAGAAAGTGAGAAATCACCTCCCTCAAAGGGAGATGGCCACGCCACAATCCCTTGTCCACTATTCTCCTTCTGGGATCTTGGGCACACACACACACAAGCTTGGCATGAGTTTCAAGTTACGGGGTTTGGGACTCGAACTGCAGTTAGCCATGTGGGAGTACAGTGATATAAACTCTGACATCTGCTGGCCCATAATTATCTAATTATTTTATCTACTTGCTTGATCATTAAAATACAACTGCATTTCTGAGCAACACAGGAGTTGGAATTAGGAGATAGTGTGGTACTAATGGAAGAACTGCACTTTGGTTTGAGACAAGACTCAAACCTTGTCTCCTCTTTTGATCTGTGAGGACTTTGGTAAAATAGATAATCTCAATAGATCTTGAGTTTGCCATCCCAGAGATGGGGTTAATACCTATTTGATATCTTTGTTTTAGAAGTTAAGTGAGATATATAAAGTGCCTGGGACAGTGTTTGGCAAGGAAGAGTTGCTCAAATACCTCTCTCCAGTTCCAGGAATTAAGATTTTGGTATAACATTACTGAAATATTCTTGATACATCGTTGTAGTTCTAGTGAATATCTTTGTTAGCATGTGCTTTAGAATTGCATTATAGTGCCTATGTGATTTGTTGATTTGCCGTGTTCTTGTTGCCATATGTGAAAAATAACTGCAGACAATTCACTTTGTTTTGAGACATGGACTGGTATAACAACAGCCTCTACTACAGTGACACGAAAGGTGATGTTTATGTGTGGCTGCTGAATGGGACGGATATCTCAGAGAATTATCACATACCCAACATTGCAGGAGCAGGGGCGTTAGCATTTGAGTGGCTGGGTCACTTTCTCTACTGGGCTGGAAAGACATATGTGGTAAGTTAAAGCCAGGCATTCTGGATGTTCTAGAGCCATGCCTACCTACTTGAGTGATTTGCATGTCATCTTCATAATGCTTTTTACAGCGTGTACTACCTATGCTATTATTTGTTTCATGTCATCTATAGATCACTAACATTAAAATTACATTGTGTTTAAAGGAAATTTTATATCACTATTTGGTGTACTATATCATTGTGTTTAAAGGAAATTTTATATCACTATCTTGTGTACTATACATATATACATATATATGTATAAACATAAATAAACAAATATATATTTATTTATTTTAGAGAGAAATTTTTGCACTTGTGGGAGATAGAGAGAGAGACACACAGAAAAAGAAAGTGAGAAACTATCTCCTGGGGGATATGGCCACACCTCAATCCCTTCTCTTGGGATTTTGGCACACACGCACATGTGTCTGATATGAGTTTCAAACTGCAAGGTCCAGGACTTAAACTGTGGTTGGCCATGTGGGAGTCTAGTGCTTCAAGCACTATGCTACCCACTGGCCCCCTAGTTATATAATTTTAATATCTTACAATAAATACATTAAAATGCTCACCTGAGGGTCAGTGTCCTGGTAGGAAGATGGCAGACTCCAAAAACATGTTTAAAAAAAGCAAGCGAAGGGATTAAGTTGCAAGGTGTGGACAGGGTTAGGGAAAATGGACAGGAGATGGCAAAGTATTCCCTAGGCTAGCAACTGTGGGAAAATGTAACTCCAGGTGTGCAGAGGCAATGGAATAAAGGGGAGAACCTGGTGAGGGCTGCAGCTATAGAGGAGTTGCTGATATGAGTTGTGTCGAGATGTACAAACCCAGTCTCTACCAATGTCTGCCACGGAGCAAGCTGAGGGAATAATTGCCCCAACTCCTCTCTCCTCCTGCCCACTGATTTCTGGTCAAAGCTTCCATTGGCTGAACTTCACTTGAAACCAAAGAAGAAGGGAGCCCAGTTGATGAGTCCATAGATGCCTGCTTCTGGGAACACAGAGGAGGGTGGAGAAGGGTGAAGAGCAGATCTAGAAGCAATATAAAGACATCCAGCACACCTGTGGAGTGGCATACTTTGAAGAAGGATTATCAAAAATTATGAGGGCACTGGCTTGACAAATGGTACTGAAATAATTTTGTAACCCAGAGGGCACAAGTACATTTGTTATTTTGTCCAATAGTCATTTACCTACAATCAGTGCGTTAAAAGTCTCAAGAATAGGCAAGTATATAAATAAACATAAAATAAATAATAAATAGAAGACATATCCTTGCTCCTGTTTTTGCTATAGGGTGCATACCCCTTCTAGAAAGAAAGAGAGAGAGAGAAAGTGAGAAATTGACTCTAATGGGGACTGCCATGCTGCAGTTCCTTCTCCATCCTCCTCTTGGGATTTTAGGAGGCACACACGTATGCCTAACATTGCTTTTCAAGCTGCTAGGTCATATGGGATCCAGAGTTTTAATCACTATGCCATCTTCTGATTCCCCTGCTCATCTTTTTTTTACATAATAGCTTTATTGATATATAATTCACAGCCCCCCAAATTTACTCTTTTATTGAGTAGAATTCACTGGATTTTAGTATATTCAGTGTTGTGCAACCATCGTCACTTGTCCCTGTTTTTTTTTTTATGAGATAAAATACTTATATGAAATAAACAGAGAAGTATTTGAAGTGCTGTGTTTAGAGAAAAGTAATATGATATAGTCCAAATTGATAAATGCCAAAGATATGCAAACGGAATGAAATTGAATGGGATTGCTCAGAGAATGCTTCCTATAATGAGTTGGCTTAAAATAACTTTGACGAAGGAAGCAGGAGAATGGATATAAAAACTGGTTTCTTGTATTTTCTCTGTCTCATAGAGTTTTAATTCTAGTACAAATTATTTAACATCATTAAATTCAGTTTAACTGGGAAAAGATGGGAAACAGAAATCTTTTATAGGTTTAATGTAAAGAGTATAAGAGGTAATGTTTTCAAGACTAATAAAAGTACAGAGCCGGGCCAGCCCTGCAGTCTAGTGGTTAAGGGTCCCAAATGGCTGACCATGCAATTAGAATCCTAGGCCCGACAGGCTGAAAAACATGCTGGGTACATGTGCATGTGTGCTCCAAATCCTGACAGGATGGAGAAACAGAGGAGAAGGGAATAGAGCATGACCATTCGCCCATGGGGTGCTTTCTCCACCCTCCCCCTCCCCACCATTTCTCTCTGACAAACATGCATGTATTCTGGCAGTTAAAAAGAAAAAAAAAAGCACAGTGTCTGCATGTAATAGGTACCCAGTAATGGTGGTAATTAATATTAGGAAGTACACCAATGAACAAGAGAGATTTTCTTTTTTTTCTTCATAAAATAATTTTAATACTCTCTGCCTGGGCTAGCAGCATCTTACACTGTGACATTCCTATACCTACATTCATTAGCAATGTCTCCAAGTACAAATGTTAAAAGCAGAGTAATTTAAGAAATTGCCTGAGCAAAGGTTAATAGACATTGTTAGATTATTTTTCTTCTTGAATCATTTTTTTCTGCATAGTAAATTGCAATTACATTTAAGTGTAATATTACTGTTCTATAGAATACACTTTGAATTGTGAGGGGTGGCAGCTCCCTATGAGAGAGAACTAGCATGTAAACCTGAACATTTTGAGTGATTTAAAAAAAATTTCAGGTGCCATGGATGGGAAAGACAAAAAATAATCCTGCATTCAAACCATAAAAACATTTTTCTAATCAATAAGAATAAAATCTTTTCAGGACCAGCAGTTGGCATAATGGCTATGTCACTGGACTCCCATGTAATCGACTGTGGTTCAAGTCCTGGACCTGGTGGCTTAAACTCACACGGAGTGCATATGCATTTGTGCCCAAGATCCCAAGAGGAGAACAGAGGAGAAGGGATTGTGGTATGGCCATCCCCCCTAGGGGGGTGACTTCTAACTTTCTGTCTCTCTGTCTCTCTTTGTCTTTCTGGCAAGTGCACATGCCTTATGGCAAAAGCCTCTCCAAATAAATAAATAAAAAAAATAAAATAAAATCCTTTCAGCTATCTCACTTATAAGGACTTATACATCCTTTTAAGGGGGTCCAGTCATATACTTTACAGGGAATCCTTCCCAGCAGTGTTTTGATTAAAAATAGTGACTCTTTTAACTCAACATAAATTGATTTTCCTTTTCTTTAGAGACATGAAAAGAGATAAGCTCAGTGAAAGCAGGTGCCATGTCTGCTGGCTTGTTTCTAAGGCTTTGCACACTATCCAACACATAATGATAACAAATATTTTTGTAGTAGAAGAAATGAATGGATAAATGCAACAATATAGTAATGATTGCAATAAATAATTCAGAAATTATTTCAGTGATTTTTTTTTTTGAGAGGTTTTTGCTATAGGTTGTGTGCATTTGCCGGAAAGACAGAAAAAGAAAAACAGAAAGCGAGAAATCACCCCCCAGAGGGGATGGCCACACCGCAATCCCTTCTCCTCCATTCTCCTCTCGGGATCTTGGGGTAGGCATGCACACACACCCGGCGTGAGTTTAAGCCACTGGGTCCGGGACTCAAACTGCAGTCAGCTATATGGGAGTTCAGCGACATAGACATTATGCTAACTGCTGGTCCCAGTGATGCCATTTGAAAATCATTAACTGACCGTACTATTATGTTTTGTAGATACAAAGGCAGTCTTTGTTGACAGGATATACAGACGTTGTGACTCATGTGAAGCAGTTGGTGAATGACATGGTGGTGGATTCAGTTGGTGGATATCTCTACTGGACCACACTCTACTCAGTTGAAAGCACCAGACTAAATGGGGAAAGTTTGCTTGTACTACAGGCCCAGCCTTGGTTTTCTGGGAAAAAGGTAACAAACTAAAAGTAAGATCTGATCATTTAATAATATGACATGATGCTATTCTATAGTTCTAATGCTGTCTCTGCTTATTATTTTAAGGTAAAATCTTAAAGGAAATATGGTTATAGTGAGATCTTGTTCAGTATCGCCAAAATTTCTCTTATTTGATGGTCATACATGAATTCAAATACAATATGGAGATTGTTGTATTTTGCTTTATCTTTAGTGGGTCCCCCTTAAAAAGCATTTAAATTACTTACTACACATTTTTATAGACTTAAGGACTTTTACTAAATATTTTAGAGCATCTCATTGGTGTGGTTGGGTGTTTTATTATTTCCAGTCAAGTATGAGTGTTGACTATTGTAAAAACTATGTGACCCCTAAGCAAGTTACTTGACTTCTCTGTGTTTCCTTATCTGAAAAATGAGACTACTAACTGTTTTTTCACATATGAATAGGAAATGAAACAATTCATATTAAGTAGTGGAAATAATTTCAGGAACATGGTAAATGCCTAATGGTTAAGCTCTTATTATTGTAACTCAATTTGGAAAACACACCTGATATAAGAACATTTGTAAAACTTTTTTTAAAAAGTTTTTGCAATACAGCACATGTACTTACTGGAGAGAGGCAGAGAGAGAAAGAGGGAGAGAGAGAAAGAAAGTGAGAAATCATTCCCTGGGGTGAGGGTAGATGGGCCATGCTGCAATCCTTTCTCTATTCTCCACTTGGGGTTTTGGGCATGCACTCACATATGCCCTATATGATTTTCAAGCCGTGTATCTGGGACTGAACTATATAGTCAGCCATGTGGGATTCAGCTGCCTTAACCTCCATGCCATCTGCTGGCCATGTAAAACAAATCCTATTTTTACTTCCTCAACTTCTAAAAGCAATACCTATTTTTCTTAAACCCATTTAGCGCTCCTCTAACTGTCCATTTAAATTTCTGAACTTTATTTTTTCTGATCATGATAATAATAGATGTCCACTGTAGTATATTTAGAAATTACAGGAAAGCATTACAAAGTGAATCATTTGGGACCAGCAGCTGGTATGGTGGTTAAGGGAGCTAGACTTCCACATAGCTGATCACGGTTTGAGTACTGGACCTGATAGCTTGCTTTTTCACTTTCTCTCTCTCTCTGGTGAGTACATGTGCCTTATAGAAAATTAAAAAACAATAATAAGAATAAATAAAATTAAATAATTAAAAAAGAAATCTCTAAAAAAAGAAGTGAATCATGCACACTAATTTTACCCAATATTACCTTACATTTTTCTATTTTTAGTCTTTTTTGTACAAGTAAAATTTGCATAATACAGATATACAGATTATATTTTAAAAGGTGTACACACATACATGCATACACACAAACACTAAATATATACATAAACTAATTATTGAGTCACTAGATCCCAAATTCTATATGATATTTGGGGCTTAATTCCTAGGATATTTAAAAATACCTGACGTGCATATAGATTATTATATTTAAAAGAAGTAGAAATTTATGCACCATATCCAGAGATTATTCATTAATATCAAATAGTTAACAGATCCTTAAATTATATTTTGAAGTCCTTTGTGTCTGAATACAAAGAAAGCATATTTTTATGTCTCAAATATAATTCTTCAGAAAAAGTGCTATTATTGTAAAAGGACATTGAAAATAATATTATTTCAGAAGTAACTTCCACTTCTGGAGCTTTATTGGTAGTTGTCTCACTGCCCTGAACTGATCATCAGAGCACTCACCAGTCAGAAACAAGCTCTGGCATAGCACTGGGGACTTTTCCATAAATGAGTCACTAGATTTCTCAGCATATTTGGGAAATACACCTTTCTTTAAATTCCCGGTCCAAATCCTCTCCCAGGGTGGCAAGTGTTCTTTTACAAATCTATGTTCTGCTTCCATCGTTTGACATCTGATCCATCAGCTACTATTAATGCTAGCAACACATTTTTTACCCAGCAAAGCTCTCCATCGACTGTTCACACTTATGTCACTCATGCAGTTGTAAGACACTTCACAATCAGCAGATATAAAGAAATACAGTCAGCTGATTTTATAGAAAGACCGGATGTTTGTCTTATGAAGAAAGAGAATTAAGTCAGAGATTTACAGAAAGCAAGAAGGTATTATTTACTATATCTGACAAGTTAAACTTGTAGTTTATAGTACATTTTACCATAGGATTAAACTTTTTTTTTTAAATAATTATTTCTTTAATTTTATTTATTATTATTTTAAAATTTTACTGTAGGGCACATATGCTCATGAGAGAGAGGGGGCAGAGAGAGAAAGAAAGAAAGCAAGTCGCCAGGTCTGGGACTCAACTGTGGTTGGCCATGTGGGAGTCCAGCACCTTAACCGCCATGCCACCTACTGGCCCTGCTAGGATTAAACTTTAATATGAAGGTTTACTTTAGATCAAGAGCTCGTTTCCAGAGTATGGATGAGATTTGATGTAACAGTGGTTACCACAGGTTTATGAACTGCTCCTGGATCTGTTTAAATGCAGGGCTGCTGGTTGATGCAGAGATATGGGATAATGTACCAATACCTAAATTTTATTTACAGTTTGAATCATTTATTATATTCTAGCAAAGGGAGTTGCAGAATTTCCCTTTTTAGAGAGAGAAAATAGAGTTAATTTATAATTTAGGAAACTCTAGCATTTCATTACAAATAACCAATATCAACCTGATTCCACTTTAATGGAAAAAAAAATTTCTTTCAGTCTGAAGCCAGGATATGATTCCACAACTGAAAGTCCGAGAATTAATAGAATGGATTTCACTGTCTGTGGAAAGAGTCCATTTCATTTTCTTATAGTGAGAGGCTACGATCTGTATGACAACACAAAGGTTCTTGCAGTCATTTGCTTTACAACAAGGATAACCTCTCATTAAGGGTAGCAGCGTAACCTGTCAGGAAGTACTTTGAGTTCTCTGATTTCTTATTGTAGTCTTTTTACATTTTTTGCTAGTTCATCATTTTTATTTAAGTGTTGCTGTATGTTGCAGAAGATGTAGTCATCAACTTGACCCTATTTGATACCACTCAGTATCTAGGTCTGGTATAGGAAACTCCACTACCTGAGGTCAGGCTTCTCACCATCTTAGCTTATTTTAAAAATATTGTAAAGCCAAGGAAAGCAAAAAAGGTCCTCAGATGGTAACTTCTATCTCACACACTCTGTTTCATAGGAAAAGATGTCTTTACTCAGGCTTCACTCAGACAACCGGAACTAAAATTAAGATTGTAATAAGACAAAGAGTAGTAAGAAGTGTTTTCCAGATATTATATGGAAATAGTACTTTGTAAACAAAGGACCCTTAAATTGTAACACACAAACAACCTGTGTGTCACTTTTGTAAAGTACATCAAGATGTTTTTGGTTGCAATGAACAGAAAATAAAATTCAAAATGATTTAAACCAGAATTACCCAGGGAGTTTTAAAACATACTGGAATTGAGATTTCTTCCCCAGAGATCATAATTTAATAGAATGCATCCTAGGAATTGAGATCCACCAAAAGAAACTTCACAGATTATTTTAATGTGCAAAATAAGAGCAACTGGCTTTTAACAACAATGAAATTCATTGGCTCATGCAGCCAAAGAGTTTAGTCATGACTAGCTTTAGGCAAGGCTTGATACAAGTTCAAAGTTTTGGACTCAATAGGTCTAGAGTATGGTTGGGAATTTACATTTGTACCAAGTTTCAAGTGAGGCTGCTAGTCTAAGAATCATACTTTGATAACCATTGAAGCTAAATGTATAAAAGTTAGTGATACTCTCTGCCTTTTGGAGAATCTTGGGCAAACACTACTTTTATCTGAATAACATAGTAGTAGGCATAGACTCATAATTTTCATATTCAATAAAAGGTGACAATCACTAATTTCATTATTCCAAAAAGGATATAAATGAGAAGTCTATAGCTTATGTGTGATTTATTGCTAAGGGTATGCTTCAAACATGCATTTGGTTTATTTTCTTACCAACTTTTCTTTTTTCTAATGGTGATTTCTGGTTTACATATTATCATTGTATGTCTTTATGGGACATAGTATGGTTTTTCAGAGTATGCATGGAGTATATATGTAATCAAATCAAAGATATAGACATATTCATCTTATTGGTGTTGAACATTATGTTGTGCACATTCAGTACGAGTTCTACTAGGTTTTACTTTTTGAAGTATAGTATTGAATTGTCAATGACATTTTTTACTCTGCTGTAGTCCATAACCTATTCCACTTTTTTACATGCATTCTTGTGTCTGTTAATAATTTTCTCCCACACTCCCACCTTACACATACACCTTCTAGTATCTACCATTTCTCTTTCTACTTCTACACTGTTGAGTCCTGCATTTCACACCACAGAGGGCTATACGGTATATGTTAAGAGGGGACATACTATACTTGTCTTTCATTGCCCTGCTTACTTACCTTATTTTCAATTTAGGTAATTGCTCTAACTTTAGACCTTAGTGATGGACTCCTGTATTGGTTGGTTCAAGACAGTCAGTGTATCCACCTGTATACAGCTGTTCTTCGGGGACAGAGGTAAGTAGTCATCTTCGAAGGCAATTAGTTGTGATTAACTTGCCCCTCACTTATGAATGACAATATATAGAATTAATTTATTCTTTCAATAAACATTTACTAATATCTACTGTGTGACAGGCATTGTGCTGGGGGGGACAGATAGGTTTGTAAAAACTAATTATAGTAGAATGTAAGTGCTATGTTGGAGTATGACGGCAGCGCAGTGGAAACATTAAGGAGAAATAATACTCAAGAGCCTAGGAAGTGTATAAACAGGTTTCTCTTCATTTTAACAAAGCGGTATACATTATGGAGTAAAGGCATAAATCGTCCTGCAGTGTCACAAATGAAAACCAGACAGTGGAAAAGACCACATGAGTTGTCTTCTTGATCTCTTTCCTTAAATTAAGCCCTCTGTCTGACTCTTGCTGACATCCTTACATCTTTTGTATTATCAGATGGTTTTTCTAAAATTTATTATGCTTAAAGAAGTTAGGCATATAATACATAATGTGAAATAATCAGATATTATTTAGTTATATCAGTTTTGACAAATGCATTTGAAGACATAGAGCATATCCATCATCACAGACAATTCCTTGTGACCCTTCCCAATCAACATTGTCTCCCTCCAGAAATGTGTAATCTTTGTGTTTGGCTTAATTTACTTGGCTTTTTTTTTTTTTTTTCAGTTTCATTCATGTTGTTATATGTATTAGTTTTTCAATTTTGTTGTTGAGTTGTATCATATTGCACAAATAGTCAGCTTAAGCATTTGTCTCTTGATACACAAAAACAAATAAATGAAAAATATTCATTTTGGGAGCTGGCAGGTGGCACAGTGGTTAAGGTTCTGGACTCCCACATGGTCAACTGTGGTTTGAGTCCTGGACCTGGAAGATGATTTCTCACTTTCCCTTTCCCTCTTTCTGGTCAAATTAAAATAATAATAATAATAACAAATAAAATAGATAATTTTTTAAATGTTGATTTTTGTTATCATGAATAAAACTGTATAAATATTTGTATTCAAGTTTTTCTTTTGTTAATGTATACTTGGATAAATTTTTAGGAGTAAAATTGCTGGGTAATAGAGTAGGTATGTGTTTATTCTTAAATAATTGCCCAAGAGCTTTTTGAAGTATTTGTAAATTTTATACTCTCCCCAAGATGTATGATAATTCTGTTTGCTCTATAAACTCCAAAGAGTTGTCTTTTGAAATCTTTTCTATTTTCACCATTCATCAGTATGTGAGCCATATACCATTGTGATTTTAATTTATATTTCCCTGATGATTAATAATTTAGATCACTTGTTCATTTTGTTATTGGCTGTTTATATATCTTATCCCATATTGTGGCTGTTCAAGTAATTTTCTCAATATTTTTAAAATGTTTTTTGCTGTAGTGCTCATGCACTTGCCAGAGAGAGTCAGACAGAGACAGTGAGATGGAAAGTGAGAAAACATCTTACAGGGGAGATGATAACACCGCAATCCTTTATCCTCCATTCTCCTCCTGGGATTCTGGGCATGCATGTGCATATACTGGCATGATTTTCAAGTCATTAGGTCAGGGACTTGAGTCATATTGGCCACATGGGAGTCCAGTGTTGTAATCACCGTGCCACCTGTTGCCCTCTTTTTCTTGTTTTTAAAAATCGGATATTTGTCTTTTTATTGCTGAGTTGCAGGAGATCTTTATGTATTCCGTATAGAAAAATTTAGTCAGATACATGTGTCATGAATATTTTCTCTCAGTGTCTGATTTACCTGTTGATTTTCTTGGTGGTGTTTTTTTTAATTAATTATTTTATTTTACATAATTTCACTGGACATCACCACAGCATACAAAATGCAATTTTCCAGCCAGAATACACTGAAAAATGGCTTAATCATACATGTTATCGTAAGCAAACAATTTTCCATTTCTTGTTTCTTGTATATATATTCTCCCCCCATTTCTACCATTTCCCATCCTCTTCCTAAACTGCCTTTGGTTTCTGCAGTTGCTTTCCATTCCTTTATTCTTTCCCACATTGTATTGATTCACAAACTATCTTAATTAATCTAAATATTTTCAATAGTAAGTTCAGCTGATATACATGTATCTGTGAACAAAAGTTAACTTTAGGCATGAAACTCTGTGGGTAGAATGAATATACTATAAGATAGTATATAGCTCAGGCTATATAAATTACTGTGGTTACTAAGTAGGTATTTTTTAAATACTTTTTTCAATGTCAAGAAAGGTAGTTTTAGCTTTAATAGCTAAAAGAAAAATGTTAAGAGAACTTTTCTTAATACTTAAAGCCAGGAAACAGGTTAGGATTCTGTTTGAATAGTAGTACATGGATCTGTTCACAACTCAAGGGCTCTGTTCACAACTCAAGAGAAGATAAAACTTAACACTGTAAAACAAAGCATAGGAAATCAGTAATGCTTTAGTCAAAAGTCATACAATTCTGTTTCACCAGTTCAAATTCATGTACTTTATCTTCTGTTGTGGTCCGATTTTTCTGTTTAAATTCTGGAAGATAACTTTCAACTCTGGACTTGTCCCTTCCATTAAGCTGGCCATTTTCTTAGTTGTTTTAGAACTCTTATTTCCATGTGTCTGACTTTAGTTTTCCTAGAATAGCATTCCCTTCAGAACTTCTTGGAGAGCTGGTCTGGTGTTGGTAAATTCTTTCAGATTTAGTTTACAAATATTCTTGTCTTCAAATCCCATATGAAGGATAATCTTGTCAGATATAGTATTCTTGTTTTCACTAAACAGTTTGAATATATTTTCCCATTCTTTCCTTGCTCACATTGTTTCCAATGAGAGGTCCGCTGTTAGTCTGATGGGGTATCCTTTGTAGGTAACTTTCTCTCTTGCTAGTCTAAGTATCTTGTCTTTGTCTGTGGTTTTGGTCTTTCTGGCTATGATATGTCTTGGAGAAGATCTTGGGTTGATCCTCTTTGGGGTCCTTTGTATTTCTTGGGTCTGAATCTTTGAATGCCTCTCTAGATTTGGGAAGTTTTCTTCCAGGATTTCATGGACTAGATTGTCAATGCCCTTTTTAGTCTCTCCACTTTCTGGGATACTGATAATCTGTATGTTTGGACATTTAATGGTACCTAGTATTTCTCATGTATTGTTCTCATTTTGGGGGGCTATTTTCTTAGTCTTTGTGGTGGATTTTAATAGTCTAATGATTCTGTCTTCTACATCTGAGATTTAAAAAGAGAGATAGGGTGCAATACTATAATTGTTGGGGATCTTAATACCCCATTATCTCCTTCAGACAGATCTTCTAGACAAAAAATAAATAGAAAGATACAGGACCTAAATGATACCATAAGTCGAATGGGCTTGACAGACACTTATAGAACTTTCAATCCTAAGACCACAAAACATACATTTTTTTCTCTCCCCAGCATGGAAGCTTTTCAAATATTGACCATGTGATAGGACACAAAACAAGCCTTTACAGATTAAAAGGCATAGAAACTACTTCCAGCAGCTTCTCTGACCATGATGGAATTAAACTCAATATTAATTTCCAGAAACAGCCTTGAAAATACACAAACCTGAATGATTTATTAACTACAAAAGAAATTAAGTCAAAAAATAAAAACCATGGAAACAAATGATGAGTACACGTTTCCATAATTTATGGGACACAGCAAAAGTAGTCATGAGAGGAAAAAAAATTTTTTTGGAGAGTTTTTTGTTATAGGGCACATGCACTCACCAGAAAGACAGAGAGAGACGGAGAGACAGAAAGTGAGAAATCACCCCCCAGGGGGGATGGCCATGCCACAATCTCTTTTCCTCTATTCACCTCTCGGGATCTTGGGCATGCACACACACGCATCCAGAGTAAGTTTTAAGCCACCGGGGCAAGACTTGAACCGCAGTCGACTACATGGGAGTTCAGCAACATAGCCATTATGCTAACTGCTGGTCCCAGAGAGGGAAATTCATAGCAATTAGTGCGGATTAGAAAAAGATGAAAAGGTGGCAAGTAGGCAACCTAACATCATGCCTCAAGGAATTTGAAAAACAACAACAACAACATAATGCCAGGTGAAAGAAATCATAAAGATTCAAGCAGAAATAAATGAAATATAAAATAAATAAACTATACAGAAAATAAATGAAAGCACCAGCTTGTTCTTTGAAAAGATTAACAAGATCAACACACCATTATCTAGACTTATAAAAAAAGAAGAAAGAAACCAGATAAATAAAACATGTGATGAAACAGACAATATTACAACAGACACAATAGAAATATAAAACATCATTAGAAGATACTATAAGCAACTATGTGCCAACAAACGAGAACATGGAGGAGATGGACAAATTCCTGTATGCATATAATCTACTAACATTGGATCAGGAGGACATAGAAAACCTGAATAGACCCACAACACGCCATGAGATTGGATCGGTAATAAATAACCTCCCAACCAAGAAAAGCCCAGGTCCAGATGGCTTCACTTCTGAATTCTACAAAACTTTTAAGGAAGAGTTAACCCCTATCCTACTCAAATAATTTCTAAAGATCCAAAAGGAAAAAACCTTCCAAATTCATTTTATGAAGCCTTTATTATGCTCATTCTCAAAACAGATAAGGACATGACAAAAAAGGAAAACTACAGGCCAATATCTCTGATGAATACAGATGCAAAAATTCTCAACAAGATACTTGCAAATTTTATCCAAAAACATATAACAAAGATTATTCATCAAGACCAACTAGGCTTTATCCCAGGGATATAAGAGTGGTTCAACATATGCAAGACTATAAATATAATACACTATAATAGCAGGAAAAAAGATAAAAACCATATGATCATTTTAATTGATGCAGAGAAAGTATGTGATAAAATACATCCTTTCATGATTAATACTCTCAGTAAAATTGGTATAGAAGTGTCATTTCTCAACATAATAAAAGACATCTATGAAAAACCTATAGCTAACATTATACTAAATGGGGAAAACTAAACCTTTTCCACTAAAAA